TTTTACACTAACACTAGGACAAAGTTGGAAACAAATATACCAATATAAATTCACGAAATAAGGTTTAAATTGCTTACCAAGATGACGCTCTGGAGTACAAATTGATCCTTCATGTGTTAAGATTCAGTCAAAACCATGGGTACTGGACTATCTTGGTCAAAACTGACTGATCAAAGGCTAGTTTGTAAACATAAACCGTTTTATTATATACAGAGGACTAAGGAAACAGGGGAATTACATTTTCTAACATAAATTCTTTGACATATAATTGATCGTGATATAAATCTCGCGAAACAAATATCTTCCAGAATTGTGATTTTCAGTTAGGATGAGCAGAGGTTCAAAATTTGCCTCTTTTCAGATTAAAAAAATTAGAGCAGCTTTTTTTAAAGTTTTGAGGCGGGTTTTAAGGACGAATTACTTAAAATTATGTTGACAATTCCTTTTAGTTAAACTAACTTGTCAAGAATATTTGATGATGTGTTTCTTTATCTTGGACCTTCCAAACCAGTAATACGAGTCATTACTTTTAATCCAGGGAAGGCTAGATCAAAAGTTATTTTTTTGTAAAGTTTTTTTTTCTTTCTGTTTAAGTGTCAAACCGAAAGCTTATCGAGAAAAAAATCTCAGATATTGGAAGGTTTCCCTCCACACAGGAAGAGATTCTAAAGCGTAAATTATAACATTTGAAACTCATTGTCAGGACGGAGGCATAAGCACGATTTAAAACTTATGTCCCCTGAAATCAGGAGTGCTTAAAATAGGTTTGGTAGGATGACTAAAATAATGCCTTTTCTGATCTGAACCCTGACCTATTAACCCTGTTTAGTGATGCAGCTACAACCCTGATATGTGTATAAATATTTCCATGCATATATACATGATAAATATATGTATATATATATATTTTATAGAGGCCCCCTTATATAAACAAACGAAAGAGAAGTCTTTAACCAGAAAATTAAATTTTTTTCATCTACATTTATGATAAAACTCTTCGCTCAAATATATTTTTGTTTGTTTGTTAGCTATAACTGGGCAAACGGCTGGACCGAATAGGCTGAGTATCCTTGTTGTTACTTATGCTAAAATAAAAATTCGAAATTATTTTGTTCAAAAATCAAATTTTTTTCTTCAAAAATCGATTAAAAATTTCCACGGGCAACGCCAGTCACTTCAGCTATATATCATATAATAATAATAATTTTTTTACATAATATTTAGTAATAATATGTAATCCCAAATTTTTTTTTAAAAACAAATTTGACTTTACTTAATTGTTAAATCATGAAATTGTAGATACTCAAAAAACAAACTTGAAAATTAAAACTATATTTTAGATTAGTTTATAAACACACCAATTTTAAATGTACACCACAGAAGCAGAAGAACACAAGAAAAACAAACTAAGATAGATCCATAAACACAAAAACACAACATTTGACAGAAACGCATAGATCTAATATTTAACAAACACACAAATATTGAACACAAAAGCAAACTATCAGAACTCCGGAACACAAAAAGTATTGAGCAGGAAAACACAAGTTTAACCATGAAAAACACATTTTTCTCTGGTCCGTATTCTAGATTGAGGAATTGTATTAGGAATCGTTTGTGGATTACATAAATGGTATAAAATATAGATCAGAAGAATCTTTATAAATCCCCTGAGACTATTATCAGAAGAATCATTTTTATATATCTTCATATTTATCTGTATTGTCGGTCTGGGTCTGAATAAAATATTTCTAATGATAAATCCTGTAAAACCACTTGTTGTGTCATTTTATCTATCTATCTTCTCATCTTTTATATATTCCTTGTGTGTGTTTGCAGTTATGACGCTAGTCTTGACGTTTTTACAGTGTTTTGTTATGTTATTTAACACCTCTGATTTATTTAGTTGGGTCTCTTTACCCGAAAACTTTTAGAAACATTCAAAACCGTGTTTGGATTCTCTGCAGATTTGTATCTAAATAGTGAGAGTAAAACTTAAAAGAATCATTGCAATTAGAAACTCTTTGAAATTCTAAACGAACACGGTTTCGCTAATGTGCAAGGATGTATAAGTTCCCATCTCTGACCCTCTTCTTCTATATATAAATTTGGCTTGTCTGTCTGTTTGTTTGTATCCAATAAACGTCAAAACGGCTGAACCGATCGGGCCCAAATCACGTGACCACAGGGAAGGTTTATGAATGATAAAAATTAAAAAAATGTGTTTTAAAGGTTTTTAATTTTGCAAAAAATTAAATTCTTGGAAATCCGCGAATTTTTTTTTTAAAAATCCGCATAATTTTTTCTTCTTTGTTTTAAAATGTAAACAGAAAGAACATGTTCACAATTTAAATAGAAGATGGGCGCAAAGCGCCCTAAAAGCCTAGTAGAATACAAATGTACAGACGTGTTTTCCACAGCCTAGTCGCGTGAGTCGCTTAGACACATACAGCCTAAACTGCGTAGGCACTATAGTAATCAACAGGTGCAATGTAAAAACGGTTATCATGGGCAGAAGCTTGTAGCTGACCACACTTTTTTTGGGTCGATATTCCGAATATAGCGTGCTCCGGTAAAATATTAAATTTTGGCCTTGAAAACTCTTGTTTGATAAAATCATGTTATTGTTGTCCGCCCATCTTCCAACTGCCAAAACTGTACCTAGATAATAGTATTTAAATATGTTACTCTTAGCTTTTCAAGCCCCCAACCCCCCCTTCCCACCTTCCTTCCTACTCCCTTAAACTCCCCTCCCCCCTGCCCCCCTGATGTCCCACACACAAAACTGTCAAGTAAACAGTTAAAGATGCAATCTATGTTTAACATATTGCTTGTTGAACCCTGCCTGGGTCCTCTCCTTCTAGCTCTCCCCCTAGCCTAGATACTAGATATGTCTTCAGATATAATTATCTCTGTGTCCCAATTTTGAAACTTTTCTGTCATTCTTAATTCGTTCTACATGTGTGTTCCGATTACACTAAACTTAGGTTCTAGATCAAGTTTTCATCAAGGAAAACTATTTTTCGGTTAAATGGTTTTTCATCATCAAGTATTCTTCCTGTCTCAAAAATAATAGACATTTTGAGATTATTTGTCGAATGAAATTGAGTCTTTGCCAAAAACCAAAATTTTCCAATCCCCATATCTTTGCAACCTGGTGGTGTAGACCTATGATATTTTAAGCTTAGATTATTTGATCTAAAAGAATTCATAGTTTGAAGTAGCTTAGGTGTTGCTAAGATGATGGTATTAGAAATGGTATTGTGGTTAAGATTCACTTTCTTTTGTGGAAAGGAATTGAGTCTTTGCCACAAACACATACACTCGATCCAGGGGGTCTCCCACACAGACACACTATGTAATCTTGTATTTTATCAAGTTTCTAATTATTTGCTGCCTGGTGTCCTCGTTAATTAGTTTCAACAGTTTGCAAGTTGTACTGTTATCTGTAGAAAACACTTGAGAAGGGCGGGGTTTACGAGATTGATATACTTACAGACCTTAGAGCAATTGGATTAGGAAGAAAGGGGGGGGGGGGGGAAGTAAATGAATGAATGAAACAAAATGATAATTATGATTAATTTATTAAAATGTAAGTTTTAATTCCAAGATGATGTTGAATTGTTGAATGTTCATGCCAAAATATTCTAACACGAGGAACCTTATGTGCAAAAATTTCTCATACTCACCTACTTCCTGATATTTTAATTATCCCTCCTCTTTCCCCTCCCTTCTTCGTGGAAAACCTTCTCCCCTCCCCCTTCTTTGTGGAAAACCTTCTCCTTCCCCATACAGTTTCTGGTCATACTTTGTAGTTATTGAAAATATAAGGAATAACAAATTTATTTCATTCAGTTTGAGTTGGTGGCTTCGAGACTCAATTCTTAATTGAGATTAGCGTATTTTTAAGCGTTCTAGTTTAAAAGTTGGAATTCTCCATCATTATCTACGTGTTTTGTTACAAAATTTCAACTTATTAAAGTTTGCTCAAATACCGCGTACCTTGTTTAAGGATCCCTGTTTATTTATCTCAACTTCTACCTAAGATAGTTTTAAAACATCTTGTTATCTTCATAAATATGAAGGTCCAGCGCAGTAAATGCATTCAGGGTTTAAAAAATAAAGATTTAGGCTTTATAGGTAGTAAGCAGTACACACAAACATACAAGGAGTTTACAACATGAGTAGGAGGGAGGAGAAGGAGGCTGGATATAAATAGGCTGGATAGAAGGGATAGGACAGATAGGACCGATAGGATAGATAGGATTTATAGAACAGGATGAATTAAGGACGAATAGGATGGATAGGAGGGATAGCAGATATGATGTTTAGGAAGGATATGTTAAATCAGATGGAAATAAAGGCTAGGATGGACATTGGATAGGACTGATATTACGGATAGAACTGATAGATAGGACTGATATTACGGATAGAACTGATGGATAGGACTGATATTACGGATAGAACTGATGGATAGGACTGATATTACGGATATGACTGATATTACGGATAGGACTGATATTACGGATAGAACTGATATTATTACGGATAGAACTGATATTACGGATAGGACTGATATTACGGATAGGACTGATGGATAGGACTGATATTACGGATAGAACTGATGGATAGGACTGATATTACGGATAGAACTGATGGATAGGAATGATATTACGGATAGAACTGATGGATAGGACTGATATTACGGATAGAACTGATATTACGGATAGGACTGATATTACGGATAGGACTGATATTACGGATAGGACTGATATTACGGATAGAACTGATGGATAGGACTGATATTACGGATAGGACTGATATTACGGATAGAACTGATGGATAGGATGGGCTGGACAAGTGACTGCAAGATCTAGACCGCTCTGTAAATTTTTAGAGAACTTTTGGAATCGAGAGTAGTGTGTAGATTGTTTTTGTAAATTAACTCCATCATTATTTAAAGAAATTTTGATAAATATTTTATTTTTATTTTCAGACGAAAAATGAGCTCCATCGCAACTCTGTCTGATTATCTGAAATCGTGTTCGACTAGGGGCGCCTCAAAGCTTCCATAATCAACTAAACCATGTGAAAATGATCGTCGGTGATGAAATTGGTGATGATCGTCAGCAGAAACAATCAACGACGGATAGAAACATTTTAGAAAATGATCGATTAAAGAGTGAGAGTTCCGGTGGATTTCAAATGGCTAATCGATTTATTGATATAGAAACAAACAGGTTTGTTTTTTATTCTTCACAAAACATAATATTATTTTTTAGTTCAGAGTTAATATTTTCAAATATTTGAAAATCACATTCGCGAAATATCAAAAGTGCTACAGAAATATCTTATTTTCTTGAAATTTTGATTATTTTCGAGAAAGTGCGAAAGTTCTCAACATTTTCGTTTGAATAACGTTTATATTTTCATAAACCATACTTAACCTAAATAAAGCTTTTTCTTAAAATTTGATTTCACCGAAAAATTATCTTAAATGGTTCTCTGATGTAATTCTTAGCTTTACGATGAGGTCAATATTATTAACCTTCTTATAAGTTTTTTTGGAGAACATTTCCGCTTAATTATTGATAAAAGGAAGTAGGGTTATGTGAGAACCAAGGTTTTATAATCCTGGGAGCAAACCAGATTTAATGAATAGCGAGAAGCCTAGATAAACTACGTGGTTTAACTTATTCTCAGTAGTTCAACTACTATTTTATTGAATTTTGTCACTGAATGGTGGATGATGGGTGGTGAATTTTAAGCTTTGGTAGATTCCCTGAAATAATCCCCCCCCGGCCCCCCATGGTTAATTCTTCCGCCAATACCATGTTAAAATAAGTGAATATTCCCTTTAAGCTGAATACAACATGATCGCAATGTCAAACAAATTTAAAAAGCAAGTTTTCCCGGGAGAGGATAAACAGCTGATTTTCTCTCTGTTCTCTCTGTTCTCTCTATCTCTCTATCTCTCTAGAATCTAGAATATAGAATCTAGAATCTGAATCTAGTCCAGTTTTCAGCTGAACACCAGAGAATAATGTTTACATGTTAAACAAAATATGTCCGATCATGAATAGCTTAATCTTTACGTGATCAAAAAAGGTATATTGTTAACTTATAGGGCTAGTTGATGAATTACGGTGTATCCTGTAATTATTAATTTTATACAAATCAATTTTTAATTTTTATCTCACAACATGACTAATGTTGCTAAAAATTCTTAATTAAATTAAAAGGGTCTGTGTACACTGCACAAGTGCTGTTTCTTGAGTTAATTCATTGTCGTTAAATCAAAACATGAATCGAATGTCACCCATATTTTTTTCTGTAGAAATCCAGAAATCGAATTATAAAAAGTTGCAAGGTTGACCATTTTTGAGGAATAAAAACGAGTAGATCTCCATCGTCACTTTTTAATTTAGCTAATACAACCACTTTAATTGAAGATACAACTTTTTAGTCTATTCATCCTGAAACAAGATCTATTAATCTTTATGTTAAGTCTATTAATCTTAAAGTTAAGGCTATTAATCTTAAAGTTAAGTCTATTAATCTTTATGTTCAGTCTATTAATCTCTTAAAGTTAAGGCTATTAATCTTAAAGTTAAGTCTATTAATCTTTATGTTCAGTCTATTAATCTTTATGTTAAGTCTATTAATCTTAAAGTTATGGCTATTAATCTTAAAGTTAAGTCTATTAATCTTAAAGTTATGGCTATTAATCTTAAAGTTAAGGCTATTAATCTTAAAGTTATGGCTATTAATCTTAAAGTTAAGTCTATTAATCTTAAAATTAAGTCTGTTAATCTTAAAATTAAAGCTACAATTTTAAAGTTAAAGTGCCAGTGACCTTTAATATTATCAAAATGTGTAAAAACATATTTAGCAATTAACACATCAGCCTATTTATGTTTTGATAAGGTCTGATATTTTGACATATTTTGGGTAAAAAAGTGTTTTTATATAAATACATTAGTATAAATAGAAAACAAATGGGATTATATTTTATATTTCTAATAAAACTAAGCTCTTTTGGTCTTTGTCTTATTTTTCATAAATTAATAACTATTTATAACACTATGTACTTAGTATTTAGATTTTTTTGCAAAGTTATCTAAAGAGCTTGAAAATGTACAAGGCCCAGATATTTCTCTGGATTTTTAACGAAAGCTGAAATATTATGCACAGAGCTGAAAACTTTAGATTGGAATATCTTTAATCCCGATCTGTTAATTAATCCGGAGATTAATAACAAGAGAAAAACAAGCATTATTTAATCTGAAGATTAAGAAAAAGAGTGGATCAAGCATTAATCCCGATATCAACCATTCAAAAGTTCTCAGCTCAGATTACACAGATAAGACAAGATACAGGGTTTATATTTGTCAGTAACTTTTGCTACTGATAACCTCTAGAGTACACTTATTCTCACAACATCGCCAGGTTAATGACTCGGAGCACCTTAAAATGTTGATCAAACTATTAAGGTTTAATAAGTACATTTTCAATAGGGGTTAAATGTATAAAAGTTACTGACCTAAAACTAACACTTTTTAAATGGTATTATATCACTATAGTTCTGCGTGCAATACATAGTACTCAGTTAACACCCGTTATTTAAGAAATCAAAAGATTTTGATATGAAAATAATTTAATTTTATAATTTATGACCTATAAGGCCGAAAAGAACTGAACACTCATTACAAATTCAAATATTAAAGGTGTAAGATATATTAGGAATTAGAAAACTTAAGTCTCCATAGGAAGTGTTAAGCTCCATTAGCCGACATAAAAATACAATTATTTAGCCTATTTTACTAATTTAAACCATGCTTAATTAGATATTCAAGGGTGAATTGAAGTATAGATAAAACCCCGCCTACTCTTTTATAAAATTTCGTGGGCGGACATTAATTGATTTTCAACAAAATTCCGGAAATTTCACGGATTTTCTCCAAACCAAGACTTGTGCGTAGTTTACTGGGAGAGATGGAGGAAACTATATTGTAAATATTGAATATGATAATATAATAACCAAAACTACTTCACTCATGAATATTCAAATGTTTAGTGATTTCAATCCATCAATTCAAGACGTGAACACAACATTGGAGGTCTATACTATAGTTTAATATATTAGATCTGTTTCTATTATCTACAACCCCGCCTCCCCCCACCCCCAGCAATGAACGATGAACGAATTACCCAAAAAGATTTCATAGACTTTTTTCAATTATCAAAAACGAGTGATTGATCACGTGTATAATTTACTCCATGTTCTCTATCCCCCACCTCCTCCCTCCCCTTGTTTTCAGCACTCCCTACTCCTCCACTCCTCAATTTGTTAATTAATACATGAACATTTACCCCCACCCCTCCTCCACTCCCTAGAAAATAATAGCTAAGTATTTTCTACCGCCATACTTTTTTTCTCAATGTTCCAAACATATTTATATTGTTATTGGTGCCCGATACACTTCCAGCCTTCCATTCTGGTCCGGCAGTTTTGTAGAAGTATGTGTAATATATAAAGGATAAAAGAAAGAAAAAAGTTAGAAAAAGAAAATGCCCAAAATGAAATTACTAATGGTTCAGGTGGTTAATTACTAATTTAGATACTGAATACAATTAACCATTAGCAGACTGCAGAGGTCCTCCTTAATGAATTAACCCTTAATGGTTGGGAAGATCAAGAAAAGTATAATGTACCCCCCCCCACTTCAATTTTTTTCCTATATTTTTTGTTGAAAGTGAGGAATGATTTTTTATCATTACATTATGCTTTTTGTTTGTTGGATGGGTATCAATGTTTAAAAGTTAAAAAAATGTTGTGAACATTAAAATGAAATACCAGATTTTATTTTTCATATCGGAATTAATGATTATGGTATAAACATAGACCCAGAACACTGTTGAATAGGGAGACGACCATTTGAATATTCAAAGTTATAACTTGAGTCTAAAAGTCGTTTCCTATTGTACAGTTTTTTGGTTTTTACTGTATCGTTAGTCAGTAAATCCTAAGTCGGTGTACTAATAATACATGTTTATTTTATTTATCTTATTTTGTAAAACTTCATTTTAGAGAACAAAGGCCGGAAATTATTTCAATTCCAGGAGTTCAAACAAGTCAGTCTTAGTTTAGGCAGTCCATGTTTAGCTTAGGCCGTCCAGGCTTAGTTTAGGCAGTCCCTGTTTAGCTAAGACAGTCCAGGCTTAGTTTAGGCAGTCTATGCTCAGTTTAGGCAGTCCAGACTTAGTTTTGGAATTCCAGGCTTAGTTTTGGAATTCAAGGCTTAGTTTAGGCAGTCCAGGCTTAGTTTAGGCAGTCCAGGCTTAGTTTAGGCAGTCCAGGCTTAGCTTAGACAGTCCTGGCGTAGTTTTGGCAGTCCAGGCTTAGTTTAGGCAATCCAGGCTTAGTTTAGGCAGTCCAGACTCAGTTTAGGCAGTCCAGGCTTAGCTTAGGCAGTACAGGCTTAGCTTAGGCAGTCCAGGCTTAGTTTAGGCAGCCCAGGCTTAGTTTAGGCAATCCAGGCTTAGTTTAGGCCGTTCAGGCTTAGTTTAGGCAGCCCAGGCTTAGTTTAGGCAATCCAGGCTTAGTTTAGGCAGTCCAGGCTTAGCTTAGGCAGTCAAGGCTTAGTTTAGGCAGCCCAGGCTTAGTTTAGGTAATCCAGGCATAGTTTAGGCCGTTCAGACTTAGTTTAGGCAGTTCAGGTTTAGTTTAGGCAGTCCAGGCTTAGTTTAGGTAATCCAGGCTTAGTTTAGGCAGCCCAGGCTTAGTTTAGGCAGTCCAGGCTTAGTTTAGGCAGTCCAAGCTTAGTTTAGGTAGCCCATGCTTATTTTAGGCAGTTCAGGCTTAGTTTAGGCAGTTCAGGGTTAGTATAGGTAGTCCAAGCTTAGTTTAGGCAATCCAGGCATAGTTTAGGCAGCCCAGGCTTAGTTTAGGCAGTCCAGGCTTAGTTTAAGCAGCACAGGCTTAGTTTAGGCTATTCAAGCTTAGTTTAGGCAGTCCAGGCTGTGTTTAGGCAGTCCAGGCTTAGTTTAGGCAGCCCAGGCTTAGTTTAGGCCGTTCAGGCTTAGTTTAGGCCGTTCAGGCTTAGTTTAGGCAGCCCAGGATTAGTGTAGGCAGTCCAGGCTTAGTTTAGGCAGTCAAGGCTTAGGTTAGGCAGCCCAGGCTTAGTTTAGGTAATCCAGGCTTAGTTTAGGCCGTTCAGACTTAATTTAGGCTTAGTTTAGGTAATCCAGGCTTAGTTTAGGCCGTTCAGACTTAATTTAGGCAGTCCAGGCTTAGCTTAGGCAGTCCAGACTTAGTTTAGGCAGTCCAGGCTTTGCCGTTGCTTCTCCTTAAATCAAAATAAATAAGTCTATGATGGGATTGTTTCATTATTAAAAAAGCTAGATATTTACAAAATATTTTTTAGTGATATTTTCTATTCTAAAATATAAAAAAAGTTGCGTGTTGATGGAGAGTTTTGTTCTATTGTCTTGTCCGCAGATTTGATTTTGGTTTGATCGTATTTTAATAAAATGTCTAGACATTAAATACAAATATTAGAGAACTGGTTGGATTGAGAAAATGTTCTAAAGTCAACCATATCAATCAAAACATTATTATGATTAAAAAATATGTCATTTAATTTTATCTTCACATTTACCAAACCAGTTCAAATTTAGTGACCCCCCCCCCCACAGTGTCCCTAATCCATAAAGAAAAATAAAAGATGAATGTCCCTCTCTCTTCATAACTTATGCACCCCTCCCCCCTTCCTCCCACGCTAATGGAGAACGTGTATATAAGATTTGATCTTAAAATATAAGAATTTTATTATTAGAACATCCAAAAAGATAAACAAAGTGGTATTTCAACTCACAACTAAAATACAAGTATTTAAGTATAAAGACCAATTGATATCAAACCTGTCAATTACTGGCACGCTTAATTAAATGTATACAAGGGTGGATCAAAAGCTTTAACAATATCTCCAAAAAAATATGAAGTAACCAAAATACAAATGCCAAAATACACATGAAGCGAATCAGAAAGATTTCACAATGATCATATTTTAATCAAAAAGGCGGTATACATTCAGCCAGACAACTTTTTTGCTCCACCCTGTATCTGTCCAGTATCCAACAAAGAATGTTTTGACTTTACTGCAATCGTTCTTGAATCTGTCACCCATCTTTCTTCAATTAACTTTGCTTTTACAATGTTACACCTTTTTATCTATACACTATTTGAAAATAACTATTGATAACACTGTTATTTTGGTTCGCTGGGTTATAAAGTTATGGACAGAAATTTTCTCTTTATCGAGAAGGTTCAAGCCTTTTTAGATTTAATTTTAGCGAGGGACAAAATATAATCTTAAAGGCAAGAACCTTGATACCAGGCACGATATGAGACCATTGATCTTATTTATTAATTTAATTGATGTTAATATTAACATACAAATGTTAATGCTAATTGATATTAACATAGAAATTAACATTTAGGTATATTTAATATTAATGTTAATGTTAATGTTAACTTTATATAGTGACAACCATAAACTTTATAAATTGCTTAATGTTAATGTTAACTTCATATACTGACAACCATAAACTTTAATGAATTGTTTAAAGTCAATGTTAATGTTAATGTTAATGTTAATGTTAACTGTAGATACTGACAACCAAAAATAAGCATAAAATTTAAATAATAGTTTAAAGTCAATGTTAATGTTAATGTTAATGTTAATGTTAACTTTATGCTTGTCATTATATAAGGTTAACATTAACATAACATTAACATTACCATTAACATTAGCATTAACATTGACTTTAAACAATTTATTAAAGTTTATGGTTGTCATTATATAATGTTAATATTAACATTAACATTAACATTAACATTGACTATAAACAACTCATTAAAGTTTATGGTTGTCAGTATATAAAGTTAGTATTAACGTTAACATTAACATTAACATTAACTTTGACTTTAAACAATTCATTAAAGTTTATGGTTGTCAGTATATAAAGTTAACATTAACGTTAACATTAACATTAACATTAACATTGACTTTAAACAATTCATTAAAGTTTATGGTTGTCAGTATATAAAGTTAACATTAACGTTAACATTAACATTAAAATTAACATTAACATTGACTTTAAATGATTCATTAAAGTTTATGCTTGTCATTATATAATGTTAACATTAACATTAACATTAACATTGACTTTAAACAATTGATGTTTATTTATATGTTAATATCAATTAATATTAACATTTGTATGTTAATATTAACATTAATTAAATTTATTAAATCTTCAATGGTCTCATATAGAGCCTCTAATGAGAACCTTCGAGAAAAAGAGAAAATTTGAGTCCAAAAACTTTATAGCACGTTGTGCCAAAATATTAGTGTTATAGGTAATTTTATGAAACGTTTGGTTACTTGTCTTATTTCATTGGCTGTTTCTAGATCAAATAAGCTTTGAAACAAAGCAGAAGTCAAAATATAAAGTTAATTTAAATTTTTATTTTTATTTCAATTGTAAAACATATTTTGGAAATATCCTTAAATTTTTTGGAGAAAATCCGGGAACCAATTAAAACTTTATAGCACACGTGCTATAATGTACAGCGAATTTAACATTATAGCACGATGATTACTTTATAGCACGTTTATTATGAAATTGACGATGAATTGAGTAATAATGATAAAGTACACTATAGTTTCATAAAATAATGTTTAATTGCCTAAAAGATATTATAAAGATTTTACCCAGCCATTTGGTTTCCGTGTATTGCTGTTAGATCAAAAAATATATTGATAGATTGGCATGTCCGATTCACAACGATACATTTAAAGTTTTGTATGATTAAGTATGAACTAGATATCCGTGTTTTATGTTCTGCAAACGGATTATTTACATTTGTGGTTTCTTACGGAAATCTGGCTTCAGAAACAGTGGAGAAATTATCAAAAATACACACTTTTTAAACCAGATAAACATTGCCGAATTATTTATAAGTCCTTTCAAGAAAAAGTTCTAATTGATTGATATGATACAAAAATGGTTATTTTTCTCAATATTAATAATCGCTAATCTAAAAATCATCAAAAAATATTTGAATTTTCTTTAAACAACTCGAGTTGAGTTGTCATTTGACAATTCTTATTCCTAGTTGTGCTGAAACCTCCCTGACAAATGTACAGACAAGAAGTCCAGAAATGGCTCCTCGTCTTGTCTACAGAAATAAAAAATATGGCAGGTAGGTTTCTTAAATTCATTTTTAATATACAAAAAATAATTTTACAACATGTTTCACGTTGTTCAAATAAAAAACATCAAGTTTCAAACTAATTAGAAAGACCCTGACACGCATAGCGTTCTGATTTTTATTTACTTACTGATTATTACGCCTAATATATCAGAGTTGCTTCAAAAGTAAGGGATTTTGGACATGTACAGTTGTACACCTTAAACTACATTTAAATCAACTTAGTAAGTGAAATGGGTTTGTGTCATAGATTTATAAAACGAAGAGAGCTTAGCTCAGATGTACACAACCGACCTCCCTATTAATTAATTAATAGAGTGGTCGGTTGTATACATCACGATATGTTTACGTTACGTAACTAACACTGTACACTTGTATATAGAGTGATCGTATTTCTAGGGGTGGTTTTATGTAGATACTTGAATATTAGTATTGATAATTAGATAGACACTTTATATGTTTGAAATAAGAATGTTTTAAGTTAAATTCATGCACTAGAAACTTAATATTTTTGTTTTAACTTTTTGCTAATAAATTGAAAACCTACAAATTTGAAAATTGTCAAATGTTTGCAGTCAACATCATCGAATTATCTTTAAATAAAGAAAGCAAATCTAAAAGTTGGTAAATTCCATAAAATCCCCCTAAGAAATACGATCGCTCTTTTTACAAGTGTACAGTGTTAGTTACGTAAGCACATCGTGATGTATACTATCGACCACTCTATTAATTAATTAATAGGGAGGTCGGTTGTGTACATCTGAGCTAAGCTTCACCTCTTCGTTTTTTTACTCTATGGTTTGTGTATAAAATACCAGTGTTTAACATGTTCATTGGACTATTTCAAATTATGACTTGAGTCCAACAGTCGTCTTAACATTTCACAGTTTAATGGGCCCCGCTGTTAAAAATAATAACATTTTTATTCTATCATTCTAGTTTTTGTTTTCCTTTATTACTATTGTAATGCGTATGAAGGTATGTTGATATCATCGTTTTTATACACTGTACAAATGTACATATTGCATAATGTTGGTATACTTATATGTAATAAGTCTTCTATTTGCATATATCCTGTACCATGTTGTTTCTATCTTTTCTAGAGTTCTGAATTTTTATTTCTCTCTGCTTGAAAATTTAAAATTAAATATTTTTATAGAAAATCTTGTCCTCCAACCCTACAGGAGAAATATTCTTCACAACATAACCAACAGTTCTTTACTGTCAACTATTCAAGGGTAAATTAATATTATTATTGGAATTTTCCAACTAAGCCTGATCTAAACCGAACAGACAGAAAATATTTTAGGAAAGCAGAAAATACTAAAATCAATTACATTTTTATGTTAAGCGTTTTTTTTCATTATTTTCTTTTTTTGTATTTTTAATATTTAATTGATTTGCTTGTTATGCCCAGTCTACCTGACGAGGTAGAACTGCCTGAAGATGACTTTGATGATGCCCCCCTTGCCCTTCCTGAAGACTACAGCCCAGAGGAGCATCCTAATGGGCTATGTAGTCCTGAAGGTCCCCTGAGAGTCCCTGAAGGTCCCCCCTGTGACGTATTTACAACCTCTCCCTTGGGCCCTGGTAGTTGTCCTGTTTCTCTCTCTCTAGACCTCAGTAGTAGAGATAACCAGTGGGTGAGCAAACATACTTTTTCATCCATTCCTTCCCCCCAACCCTCTCTTTCTCATCCCGGTCATGCCTCCTCCCTCCCTCTGCCTCATACTCCCCTCCCATCCCCTTCATCCCCAACCAAACCCTGTTGTTCTCCACTTTTTTCTTTACCTATTTATCTTTATATTCCAATAATACTTCTTCTTCTTATCTTTTTCTGGCATGAATTTAGGTTTGATTTAATTTGTTTATCTTATCTGTCCAAGGTCAAGAAAGATACAACAGGAACCTTACTAAAAAAAACTATATTGTTTTTATTATACAACCAAAAACTGCCGGTCACTTATTTGGTTATTAACAATATATATATGTCATGGTAGTCCCTAAAGTCAGAACTTTGTGTTGAGAATCTTGGATCAAGCATTAATCTTTAGTTTAGTTAATTTAATTCCTCTTTAATAGTTCCTGGGGACCAAGTAGGCATCCTTCAATTTAAAAGAGTGTCCACATTGGATATCGAGATCAAGTGTTCAAGACTAGTAATTCTCCACAAAAAAGTTCAGACCTCTGAACTGATGTATCTTCCATGCATTCACAACATCCTCATATCGTTATTTTTCTACCCTACCCATTCTTTCTTCTCCCCTACCCATTCTTTCTTCTCCCCTACCCATTCTTTCTTCTTCCCTACCCTTCTTTCTTCTCCCCTACCCATTCTTTCTTCTCCCCTAACCTTCTTTCTTCTACCCTACCCTTCTTTCTTTTACCCTACCCTTCTTTCTTCTACCCTAGCCTTCTTTCTTCCCCCCTACCCTTCTTTCTTATACCCTACCCTTCTTTTTTTCTCTCCAACCCTTCTTTCTTCTCTCCTACCCATTCTGTCTTCTCCCCTACCCTTCTTTCTTCTCCCCATACCCTTCTTTCTTCCCCCTACCCTTCTTTCTTCCCCCCATACCCTTCTTTCTTCCCCCTACCCTTCTTTCTTCCCCCCATACCCTTCTTTCTTCCCCCTACCCTTCTTTCTTCCCCCCTACCCCTTTTCTTCCTTAGAACAATGTTGTTTTCTTCAGGTTCCAGAATATTCCTTCATAGATTCCATTCAGTCAAACCTCAATACTGGACAAACCTCCTCATTAGGTCAGATATTTAATATTCAATCCATATACATAGATTATATATTCAATATACAAACCATATATATATAGATTAGATATTTAATATACAAACCATATACATAGATTAGATTAAAGTTAAAAATTTTACTGATGCTTTAGACCCTCCCTAAAGACCATTTATTTTCTGAAAAAGTTAAATTCTTTTGTAAAACCTCGAAAGAAAAATAAATAAAAACTCTCGAATTTAAAAATATTTTTTTAAAGAGGGGGTGAGTTTCTGGCCCGGCAAGAAACTTACATATATATCCTTAATATGCTCACTTATTTACATGTTTACATTAATTTAATTTAGCATATTTTAAATATATTTAATATTTGCTAGGTTCCGAATCATCAAAAGTGCTGGATTATACACTCTTCTCTGCACTGGACCCTCACAATTCAGGGTATTACTATCTATTATATTTTTTCCATTATGATTACATATATACATGAACATATAAGACTATTGATATTTTTTACAATTATTACTTATATTTTAATTGTAATTATCCTTTTTACAGTTTTAGTAATTTTTTAAAAAACAGAAAAAAAACTTTACTGTGCTTCTTTTTTACTAATAAAGTGGTGGAGGGGGGGGGGACATGTATTTCGCTTTATTAAGAAAACAAGAGAGGTTACATTCTCCCAAATACACAAAATTAAACTCTCCTACGCTCCTGCTAGGAAACCGTCCTTTTTATTAAAAATTATAAAACAATTTTTGTCCTATAGACAATGTGATGAAAAACAATTCTTAGAAAGGAACTGTTAACTTGTCAAAAACTATAATTTTCTAATCCCTATTTTAAGCTTAAAATATTTTCATAGGTTGAAATATGAAAGGTCTTCGATATCAGGTTGCAGAGATATATTTGATTAGAAAAATAAGTGTTATGACGAGTAATTAGTTCCTTAGGATCATGCGTAACATTTTAATCATTAATTAAAATATAAATATTTATTCATAAATCACTTTAAATAATATATATGATTTTATGATTCTACCCTCTCCAACCCAACTGTCACTCTAGGTTTTAAACAACTCTCATTTTTGCCATAATATATCTCATTGGAATCCACGACATCTTTAGATCAAGTAGATTGTCAAATACAATAGATGGCAACGTAGAATTTGTACATTCTCAGTTCAGCTGTTTTCTTACGTCACAAGTGTCAACTCAGTTTGTGTGTTCGACAAAATTATTAATAATAGTGATACTTTTAGATATAAGTGCTTATCTTACAGTAAAATAAGTTTAATTTTCTGTTTTTACAATTTTTTATCTAATCTTGGAAAATATGTCAACTAATGTGAGAAATTATCTTTTTCCTTGTTATATTTGACACTTGTGACGTCGTGCATTACTGGTCTATTTCTCTGTTGCCACCATTTTTACTTGATAATCTATTTGCTTCAGATGGCTAATAAATATTTGAAAAATGGATATCACATAAAAATAATAATTAAAAAAGTCAGTGTTATATTAAAATAAACACAAGATAAATGCAAACGAAATAAAGCTGTACACATATAGAGTAAAAAAACAACAATAAAATTCACGAATAAAATAAAATAAAATAAAATAAAATAAAATAAAATCGGATCCATTGGATCTTTTGATCGGATCCATTGGATCTCTTGATCGGATCTGTTCCAATGGGATCATCCCTAGATTTCATTAGTCATGACCTAGCTGTCTAAAATGTACTACAGGCTTAGTTGTGTGTTGCTGTCCGGGCTATACATAATCAGAAGTGTGAATTCATTTTAAAAAATGGAAAAATTACGGTAACATTTTACGGGTCCCCCTGTAAATCTGCTTTCCTCTTATCAATACCAAGTTTAATAAAGAACTAACCATGAACTAGAAACTTCTAGATTGTGGAGAAAACTAAATGCTTTTATATCACATAATATATAGATAAAATCTGCTCTACTTTAAACAAAATCTTTCTAAAACAAAGTTTGAATCATAAATAATTAAACTTTAAAGTAATCAATTTCAAGAAAATGCAAAAATAAAATGATTTTTTTTGGAAGTTTGGTAGAGATTGTTCCTACACATTTTACTCTGACGTATTAGGACTGTTAGGAACTTATTTTATCAAAACAATAACAAATATTGTAAACAAAGGTCGGAATCGTTGCTTATTTACAAAAAACTAGTTTTAAATAACATTATAAAATATTAAAATTAAAATCAAAATTATTAAATAGCATTATATAAGCAAGGCCTCTCACCTCACCTTATCTCTACTCACATTGAAAGTAATAGTATTGGTTTGTGTACAATGTATATACAAAGTTCTCTTTTCCTGGTTTATTTTTCTTGGCTGTCACCCAAATGTCATTTATATTGTATATACTCATTATACCATCGTGTTGTACGAATATGTGTCTTTGTTTCAAATCTTCTAAAAAAATCGCTGATGCAATTGCGTCACAAGATCCCACATAAACTTGACTTCCTTTTGCAACTAACTAGTTACTTTAAAGTGACTTTAAACGTAATCATTAGTTTCTTAAAGTGACTTTAAACGTACTCATCAGTTACTTTAAAGTGACTTTAAACGTAATCATTAGTTACTTTAAAGTGACTTTAAATGTAATCATTAGTTACATTAAAGTGACTTTAAACGTACTCATTAGTTACTTTAAAATGCCTTTAAACGTAATCATTAGTTACTTTAAAGTGACTTTAAATGTAATCATTAGTTACTTTAAAGTGACTTTAAACGTAATCATTAGTTACTTTAAATTGACTTTAAATGTAATCATCAGTTACTTTAAAGTGACTTTAAACGTACTCATTAGTTACTTTAAAATGCCTTTAAACGTAATCATTGTTACTTTAAAGTGACTTTAAACGTTATCATTAGTTACTTTGTAACTTTAAAGTGACTTTAAACGTAATCATTAGTTAATTAAAGTGACTTAAAACGTAATCATTAGTTACTTTAAAGTGACTTTAAACGTAATCATTAGTTACTTGAAGTGACCTAAAACGTAATTTCAAGTGACCCTCCATTGATACTGGGGCATTAACAACATTACCCTTAAAAGCTTTGTCTGCTCAAGTAAATAGATATTTATGTTTTTGATTTGGAAAAATCATTTTTTTTATAGGTGTGGTCTCGTTAACAAATTGACTTGTGCATTTCTTGCTACAGAAACAATGGGCCGGAATGACATTAGCAGCAAATTAATTACAAAAATACTTATTCTTTAATATATTACAATAATACTTATTCTTGTAATATATTACAATAATACTTATTCTTGTAATATATTACAATAATACTTATCCTTGTAATATATTACAAGAATACTTATTCTTGTAATATATTACAATTATACTTACCCTTATAGTATATTGTACAATAATTCTTATCCTTGTAATATATTACAATAATACTTATTCTTGTAATATATTACATTAATACTTATTCTTGTAATATATTACAATAATACTTATCCTTGTACTATATTACAATAATACTTATCCTTGTACTATATTACAATAATACTTATCCTTGTACTATATTACAATATGTTGAACAGTGATGCAGATGCATATCTTCTAGTTCTAGTACTGCAGGGTCCAGGGTGTATATGGCACAGTTCGTAGAAATTGAGTAATACAATTCTAAATAATTAGTATAAAGAGACTGCTTCTGTTTTATTATATGACCTGAAAGGACCAAAGTGGCATTATGGCACACAGTTTTATCATGGTACAAAAACAATGTCATCACGGTTCAAGATGTTTAAAATGTTCACAATGTCGACTTGAGGTCATTACTCATCATAGTTCGCGAATATTATAAATTGTATCTTAAATTCCAACTGTACCAGTATATCTTATTTTTTTCTGATATCATGTATCCTGAATCCTGTATCCGGTTTATCCTAGGGTTGCCCATGTCTCCTCTATCCTGGAGTACCTAGAGCTGTTAGGGATTGAAAATGCATCTCAGGTATTCTTTAATCACATATTGACAGCAAAAAATTCCTTTAATTTTTGGTTCATCTTCTATTAAATAAAGCTTTTTGCTCATATATATATTATATTCATCAGTTATATTTGTCTAAAGCAAAATTACATTAAACAGTATAAAAGTTTACAAACTAATACTCTTTTCTCTGGATATTGCATTTTATAATTGACAGGTTTTTCCAAAAAAACAGGTGCAATACAAGACTTTTAGCATAGTATAGTTTAGTTATTCAGAGGAGGTTTTCAGAAATGAAGTTTCTTGGTCTTGGAAAATAAGTATTCAAAACAGGATTTTAAGTTTTATTGTACCTAACATATATAATATGTGAATTAAAAGTATGATTTAGTTTTTGTAAGGACTGTAAACAATCGCACTTTGTTTACATTTTTGTGGGTAGAATGTAAACACCGGATTTCATACTTATGGGCAAAAGAAACTTTTAATATTTTTAGACTTTTAACAGGTTTTATGACAAGGGTCCAACGATTTTAAATCGTATTCTGTAGAAGTTTGCTTTTATCAAACATGCAAATTTGTTATAGTAGGTGAAAAGAAACCAAAAAACCCAAAAATAATCGTGCTAAAATGATCGTTTTTGCCTTTAATTTTCTTATATTGTCGTTAAATCTTTTAAAAGTCTAAAAACATTAAAAGTTTTTTTTAAACGAATCTGGCTATTGTCCATCCCTTTAATCAGGGCAAGATGCATTCGGTTTCTTTTATTGGAATTCAATCACGTGAAAAAAAGTACGTTTAATGGGTCAAATTGTAATCGAAAGCCCCAGTTCTCTGGAATAAGGACCTAACCGTTAAATTCACGTGATTGATTGTCTCTCATAATATTGTTACTCCAGGTGATCTCTGAGTACGGTTTGGGAGGAGAGGAGAGAACCCATCTTGATCTCCGACACCTAACCCAGATTATACAGGAGGAGATTAACCAGAGTCAAGATATACTTAGGTGAACCCCTCCTTGATAATCCTTCCATTAAAAAATCTATTGATTGTTCTAATTTAAGAATTAAGTAAAGGAGTTGAGTTATGGCCACAAATTTAAATTTTATTATCCCTGTATATTAGCAGAATCCATAGTTTGAATTCAACTTCAAAATCATACATATTCATGTAAATTTATACGTACATTTAGTATCTAATTATATATTGATATATTGTTATATTTACACTGTGTACTGCAGGTATTGTACTGTACGGGCTGGAGTATGTGTGTACGTGAATGAAGTCCGTGTACTCAATTCATTCCTTGAAAACTCAAACAAGGAACGAGATAAACTAAAACTAGATATTCAGGTAACTCTTCACCAAATGATAGAAAATATTAAATCCAAATTTCAAGTGACCCTCCATGGAAAGAGGGCAATGTCCGATTTATAACGGTACCCTTGAAACGCTTGTGTGTGCTGCGTCAGTCTGAACTCACATAGCGTACACTGGAATTTGCAGCTGAAAATATGCGGGTTTCGGTAAGTTTACACACACATATCTCTGAACTCGACTAACACAAAAATGTTTCAAGGGTGCGATTGTAAATCAGGTATTGCCCTTTTTGAATGGAAGGTCACATAAAAATTACGCTTACAGTCACTTTAAACTGAAATGAACATTACACAATTATACATACAGCAATACAGCAATACGCCAACTGATATAAACGTTACACAATATACATACAGCAATACAGCAATACGCCAACTAATATAAACACAATATACTTACAGCAATACGCCAACTTAAGAAATAGTAAAAATCTTCCAAGTCAAGGGAATTTTTGTCTTTGTATAAGTAAAGATTTCACACAAAAATTGAAACCATGAAAAAAATAAAGTAAACTTCAATATAATTGAAGATAAATGGGAATGTGCCTGTAATTTGAATAAATATATATGGGGGGGGGGGCACGCCCCTGACTGAAATATATATATTTATAAAGGACTCCAACCAAAAACTGAGTGTACTCCTCCAAGAGGTTGATGAACAGACTGAAATATATATATTTATAAAGGACTCCAACCAAAGACTGTGGATCTTTTGATCGGATCCATTGGATCTTTTGATCGGATCCATTGGATCTCTTGATCGGATCTTGAAATATACATATATATTTATAAAGGACTCCAACCAAAAACTGAGTGTACTCCTCCAAGAGGTGGATGAACAGACTGAAATATATATATATTTATAAAGGACTCCAACCAAAGACTGAGTGTACTCCTCCAAGAGGTGAATGAACAGACTGAATTAAAAATATATACATATTTATAGAGGACTCCAACTAAAAACTGAATGTACTCCTCCAAGAGGTGGATGAACAGACTGAGATATATACATATTTTAAAAGGACTCCAACCAAAGACTGAGTGTACTCCTCCAAGAGGTGGATAAACAGACTGAAATATATATATATATATATATATTTATAAAGGACTCCAACCAAAAACTGAGTGTACGCCTCCAAGAGGTGGATGAACAGACTGAAATATATATATTTATAAAGGACTCCAACCAAAGACTGAGTGTACTCCTCCAATAGGTGGATGAATAGCCTGTAATATATATATTTATAAAGGACACTGAGTGTACGCCTCCAAGAGGTGGATGAACAGACTGAAATATATATATTTATAAAGGACTCCAACCAAAGACTGAGTGTACTCCTCCAAGAGGTGGATGAACAGACTGAAATATATATATTTGTAAAGGACTCCAACCAAAGACTGAGTGTACTCCTCCAAGAGGTGGATGAACAGACTGAAAAGCAGGAACAAGACTCCATCTTGAAAATACAGTAAGTATTTAAAGAAAAGAAAGATCATGATGTTCCAAATTATTAATTTATCGATTTCATCCCGAAATTTCATTCTTCAGATAGATAAATTCAAAATTGCAAAATTACTGAAACGAATATAATCTTTTGAAGGAATTTGCTACAGTTAATATATTGATTTCAACCTATAGATTTATACTGATTGATTAGTTGATTGATTAAATATTTGATTGTTGGATTGACAAATTGTCGATTTGTTAGTTTGTTTATTGTTTGACTGATTTATTAAATGATATACTAATAATAAACAGATTAATTTTTTGGTTGATTGATTAACTGATCAAGTAAATGATTGATTAACTGATTTTATTTTGTAATGGTCGGGGGGGGGGGGTTTAGGGGAGGGCGTGCCCCCCTTTTTCGAAAATATGTTCAAAATAAAATTTCAGTCGAAAAAAAGTAAATTTTCAGTTGTTGATTTCAGATTTGGCTTTGTTCAATTCAAATCTAATTTGTTGTTCTTGTGTTTTTTAAATATTTATACTTCCAACAGATGTAAAATGAACGATATGAGTCAATTCATTGAATGAGTGCGTGAAGCGCAAAAAAAAATTTGTTAACTTCTCATGGTTTAATTACAGATTTAATTACAAGAAATAATCATTTATATTTTCTGAAAAAAAACATCAAAATACATACAACCCATAAATATTCTCAAGTCTGTATAAAATAGCTGCAAATATATGTATAACATTTTAATCATCTACATTGAAAAAGGACAGAGAATGTTACCTTTTCTCCTGAAGTTATTGAATTTATGATTGATCATTCAAACCAACATTCATAATCTTATTTCATTTTTGATTTTATAGAAGTTCTTTCAAAGAAGATAAACTTTATCAGTTATCAAATATGATTTGCCAGGTTAATGACTGCTCTCTAGATTTGGAACTGAGTTTTTGTCACAAACTCAAATATTCTAATCTCTAAAATCTTTTCACCAAGTGATGTAAATTTTTGATAGTTCAAGCTTAGATTATTTTACCAAAAGAATTTAAGGTTTTAAATCGACGACATTGGGTTGCAAAGATAAAGGAATTAAATCTGGAAAAACTATCACTTAACTAAAGATTTAAGAGTTAGGCTCTCTTCGTCTTGCTTAGAACATGTCAAATAGTCAACTCCCGGCACAGTTAGTTAGAATAGAACTTAAATCAGTATATTCTAAGTACATTTGTACAGTTTGTACTCTATAAACTAACAACAGTCAACACAAATACAGTACAACTCGGAACTCTTTTTTACATTTATTGTTTACAATTTAGACTTTTAGCCTTCAGAATTGAAAAAGTTTTTAAAACTAACGATAGTATAATTTCTACGATAACTTTATTGGTTTTCTTATTCCTGTAATACTGATATTCGCCATTAGCTTTCTTTTCATTCTGCAGGGGCGCCCCTCTTAGGTGCTAGGATTAAATGATTAAATTAACTGATAAAATTGATTGATTGAGTAGACAGCTTGAGAGTAGATGGTAGGAATATTGTTAATTGATTGATTGAGTAAGCAGCTTGAGATAAGATGGTAGGAATACTATTGATTGATTGATTAGACAGCTGGAAAGTAGATGGCAGAAATATTATTGACTGATTGATTGATTGACATTAGACAGCTGGAGAGTACATGGCAGAAATATTATTGACTGATTGATTGATTGATTAGACAACTGGAGAATAGATGGTAGAAATATTATTAATTTATTGATTGATTGATTGATTGATTAGACAGCTGGAGAGTAGATGGCAGGAATATTATCATGAATTTGAAAAGAGAGCTGAGGAAGAAAGAGAAGGAAACACAGCAATGGTAACTTTTATCATTATTATCGTCACTAATTATAATCATAATAATCTCAGTTAAAAAAAAAACATTTTTTAATTATTGAATCATGTGAATCTAAAGGGAATCTATCAAATCAAAGAATTATTATTGCTTTTTATACTAAAACCCTTTTATTCTTTTGTTCGAAATTTAGTTAAAGATAACACCTACTACACCCAAAATTGCCATGCTTACCAACATTTAGAGTTTAGACACATAAAATCCACCATGTATAGTATTTAAGTCCATAAAATCCACCATTTATAGTATTTAAGTCCATAAAATCCACCATACATAGTATTTAAGTCCATAAAATTTGCTACAAATAGTATCTTAGTCCATAAAATCTGCCAAAAATAGTTTTTTAGTCCATAAAACCAGCCACAAGCTGTATTTCACGTTTAAGCCCAAAAAATCTACCACAATCAGCAGATAAGCCCCTGAATTGAACTCCTCTGATTACTGTTTTTTTAGATCAAAGATTTGTCAGAACAGTTAAACCAACATTTAATAAATCAAAAGGAAGAAAAAGAAATCTATTGTCAAGAAGTAATAAAATTGAAAAAGGTAATTTTAGTTTTTAATATTAAAACTAGAATAATTTTCTCTGATTAATTATTTCAGGAGATATCAAGATTAGAAGATGAAAACAGTTCTTTAAACTCGAGGAAATTCTCATGAAAAAATGTTTCAAGAAAATATCTATTTGAGCAACAAAAGTTTCCTGCTTCAGGGAAAACAAACTTCTGTTAAAGTTTCCAATTTGATTACATTACATACAGCATCTTCAGCCTTTAGATTAAAATACACCAGACCCCCCCCCCCGGCCCTCCCCCTCCCAACTATTGATGCCCTTTTTACACCTCCTTCGCCCCCTCCCCTCTCTAACAATGGCTATGATCAATGATTCAATTCTATTCTCCCAAGATCCAATCTATATTCTATAATTGTAGAGCACTGCACTTTTTTGGGTGGGTCCCACATTACAAGCCAAGGAATGCAATTTAACGTCATTTATTAAAATGGTAGAAAATTATGAGATTGGTGTGCAGGATTGCGGAAATGGGCGCCAAAAATTCGCAAATTCTGGAGAAAACTGAGATATTTGTTAATGCAGCAGCAGGTAAACATCAATTTTCATGAACAATCTCTTTAATATTAATTCTTTAAACCAAACTAGTTGAACCAGGTCCAAACTAATTAAACCTGGTCCAAACTAGTTGACCTAGTCCAAACTAGTTAAACCTGGTCTTAACTAGTTAAAACTGGCCCAAACTAGTCAAACCTGGTCCAACCTAGTTGATCCTGGTTCAAACTAGTTAAACCTGGTCCAGTCCAAACTAGTTGAACCTGGCCCAACCTAGTTGAAACTTGTCCAAACTAGTTGAACCTGGTCCAAACTAGTTAAATATGATCGAAACTAGTTGAACCTGGTCCAAACTAGTTGAACCTGGTCCAAACTAGTTAAATCTGACCGAAATTAGTTGAAAGAGGTCCAAACTAGTTGAACCTGGTCCAAACTAGTTGAACCTGGTCTAAACTAGTTGAACCTGGTCTAAACTAGTTGAACCTGGTCTAAACTAGTTGAACCTGGTCTAAACTAGTTGAACCTGGTCCAAACTAATTGAACCTGGTCCAAACTAGTTGAACCTGGTCCAAACTATTTGAACCTGGTCCAAACTAGTTGAACCTGGTCCAAACTAGTTGAACCTGGTCTAAACTAGTTGAACCTGGTCCAAACTAGTTGAACTTGGTCCCCATCTAGCAATAGTTAATCTATATTTAGCTTGTTGTCAAGTGCATCCCAAGATAGATGAATGTATTGCATAATATGCAGCTGTAGAGATGAATTGCAGTATTATACCTCGTGCTATCTGATTTATATTTTAGACCAGAGATACACTAAACATGCAACTTATTACAGTGCAGACTTTATCAGTTGGTTTTAGGTCGTCGTTACATTATAAACCATGGATTAACGTAGATTTAACAATATATGCCTTCCCACCCACCGGTGTACATTTGAATATCCGAGCTGGGCCAACCTTTGCAGTCCTAGTTGATTCAAGAGAAATTAGTTAGTGCCACCAATTCTAGCTTTTAATCGCTATATCTTTGTAACCCAATGTCGTAAACCTTTGATATTTCAAACTATGAATTATCACATAGTTTGAATTTGAAATATTAAAGGTTTACACCATCAGGTTGCAAAGATAAATGGATAAGAAAGGATTTGAGTCTTTGACACAAACTCTGATTTCTAATCCTTATATCTTTACAGCCTAATGTCATAGACCTTTGATATTTCAAATTATGAATTCTATTGTAGAAAATATTCTAAGTTTGAAAAATCAAAGGTTTATTAAACCAAAAGGTTGCATAGATATAGGGATCGGAAAATTTGAGTTTGTGGCAAAAACTCAATACCTTTCAGTTTGTTGAAAAACTCAGTTTCTGTGTTTAAACCTTTAGAGACGACATCGTTTTCTATAGTTTTCGCATAAGTTTCATTGCACACAATTAAATGATAGAATTCTTGGCATGAACACCTTTTACGGATTTTTAAAAGTGCCGCACATTCCTAAAAAGGCGCGAATTCATAAAACTGTCACCTTTCTGAATCGTGAATATGTATTTTATTTGAGTACTCTGCATTTATTCATATTTTACAGTTAAATATATAAACTGTGTACAGGGAGCCCCAATCTATATCTAAATATATCTATATTTAAAGTAAAACAATATTTATCACTTTAAATGTAAAACAATTTTAATCATATTCTGTAAAAATCCAATCATTATAAAAAATGGTCCACTATCAGTTTTATTCCAACTGATGATTGGGTTGGACCCATGAAACATTTTGTCTTGGAAGAAATATATATTTAAACATCTAAAATGTATATTTAAACTGAAAAAAGTTGAAAATACTATATATCTTTATCTATAAATATTATGAAGTATTCTTTGCATATTTTTTCACACTAATTTTTTATATTTCATGATTCTTTACTTTTTAAGAGTTTTTTGCAATTTCCTTTTCAACGTAAAACTATAAAGAATTTAATTACCAAGTTTCAAACATTTTGAAAACACAATTAGTATTATCTTATCGGGTTCAGTAGTATTATCACGCCAAAGTATGGCAAATGACAACCAAATTTATTTATGCTTAACAAGCAGACATTTAAATCTGTTTTAGTTCTTTTGAATTGAAGTAGAATAACATTTTTTTCCAGATTTATTCTTTCAAACAGGGATGCATGATTTTTAAGGATTGCGGAAAAATAAAATGTTTGATAAACATTTTTCCATCGTTTTCCCAAAATTCCCAATTCTTTTGTCCTATTTAAAGGGAGTGACCGGCTATGTAAGGTAATTGAATTGAGTATGCAGTGTTGTCGAAAACTTCTTTAGGATTCGTTTGAGACATATTTAACTTTTTAAAGATCTGTAAATCCTGAGTTTGAGCGCAAATTCGACGTTCAAAACTCCTGATACGGATACGCTTTCAGAATAAGTTTTTTTTAAATTATTAAATAACGACAACAAAAACTAAAAGTAAAAATTATACAGTAATCTAATTAGATGGCTAGGAACATATTTCACAAAAGAAATTTGTCAATAAATCAATGCTAAAATCGATTATTTCGTTTTCATTATTATATTGAATTTCTAATTTTCTTTAAATTTATTCGCAGATTTCTTCAAATTCTTTAAATGTCGTTTTTTCAATAATAATTCTAGAAAATCTGCGAACATCTTTGTGAATAACGAGAAACTAGAATAATGAGATAATAGAAACTAATAATTGAACAAGATTACTTATTTTCGATGATAAGATTAATTTTTATTTTCTCAAAATGTTCCTAAACATGACGTCTGTAGTTTATATAGAATATTTTTAAATTTTATGTCGGCGTTAATTAATAATTTAAAAAAACTGATTCTGAAAGCGTATCCACCACCAAAGTAGGAGTTTTGAACGTCAAATTTGCGCTCAAACTCAGGATTTACAGATCTTTAAAAAGTTTAATATGTCTCAAATGAATCCTAAAGAAGTTTTCCACAACACTGTATACTCAGTTCAACTACCTTACATAGCCGGTCACTCCCTTTAAGCCATGAAAAATGTACAATTATTCCTAATAATGTGGCGGAAAATACTTTATCACAAGGAGCCGAGGAAATTTAGTTTTCATAAAATATATATCAGATTTATATTATAAATAATTAATTAATGAAGCCTTTGTTCAACTTCATCTGCTCTGCGTAATGAAAAATGAAGATTTGTGATGCGTTGATCAAATTTGGATATTTTCTAGGATGTGAGACGGGTACAGCTAATTATACTTTACTAGAAAAGGTATTTTTTCTATTATTGTTGTTATTATTATTATTATTATTATTATTATTATTATTATTATTATTATTATTATTTTTATTAATATTAGACAACCCGTCATTCAATGAAGTTGGACTGACATAACATATAAATAAATACCTAGGCTAAACGCCACTCCTATTAAAGTTTTCATAACAGGAGTTAGAAAGAATAACCCAACTGAATCAAGAATTAAAAGATGAAAATGATGAACTTCAAATTGTTTTACTGTCAGAACGAAATCAGTTTCAAAGGTAATTTTATAATCAAGAAAATTTCCTAGTTTCCTGGTTTCTTAATTACCTAGTTTATTAATTTCTTGGATTCCTAATTTCCTGGTTTCTTATTTTCTTAGTTTCTTGGTTTTTATAGTTTTCTAGTTTCTTGGTTAAATAGTTTCCTGGTTTCTTATTTACTCAGTTCTTGATTTCCTAGATTCCTATTTTTCTAGTTTCTTGATTTCTTATTTTCTCGTTTCCTAGTTTCCTTGTATCTTAGTTTCCTTGTTTCTTAGTTTCCTTGTTTCTTAGTTTCCTTGTTTCTTAGTTTCCGTGTTTCTTAGTTTCCTTGTTTTATAGTTTCTTGATTTCCGGGTTTACTGATTTCTTAATTTCCTAGTTTCTTAGTTTCCAAGTTTCCCGGTTTCTTAGTTTTTTAGTTTCTAAGTTTACTTGTTTCTTGATTTCCTAGTTTCTTAGTTTTAAAGTTTCCTGGTTTCTTAAATTCCTAGTTTTCTAGTTTCTTAATTTCAGCTAGTTTCCTGGTTTTTCAGTATCCAAGTTTCCTGGTTTCATAGTTTCCTGGTTTCCTAGTTTACTAGGTTACTAGTTTCCTAGTTTACTGGTTTCCTAGTTTCCTGGCTTCTTATTTTCTTAGTTTCCTGGTTTCCTGGTTTCTTGGTTTCCTAATAAGCATGTTCTCCTGTTTTTCTGCATGAAATTAATTCCCACAAGGGTTGGCCAGGTTGCCAGATTAATTTACAGATTCTATTCTTTAGTTGCTCGAGTTCTTCTTTCTTATTCCTCTTCCTTTATCTCTGCCTTCTTCCTCTTCCTTAATCTCTTCTTTCTTCCTTAATTTCTTCTTTCTTTCTTAATTACTTTTTCTCCCTCTTCCTTAATCTATTCTTTCTTCCTTAATTAACTCTGGCCTTTACTTTTTAAAATTTCGGCTCTTGTTTATTATTGCAGCACGTGTCAAAGTATTTAAAAACACGTGTTATTTTAAGGTTGAATACCAGAAATGTCCAGATTATCTCTATCGGAGGAAACGAGGATTCTTCTATCATAGATAATTGTGTTTCTCAGGTATTATTTCTTTAAATATACAGCTTTAAGTTTTTAAATATTAAACTTTAGATTTTAAACTTTAAATATTAAACTTTAAATATTAAACTTTAAATATTAAACTTTAGATTTTAAACTTTAAAGATTAAACCTTAAATATTAAACTTTGAACATTTAATTTTTAATATCCAGCTTCGTATATCCCAATTTAGATATCAAGCTTTAAGCAATCAACTTCAAATTTCATTTTCAAAAAAAAAACGTTAATAATATTCAATTTTAGATTTCCAATAATAATTAATAAAACAAAAAGTATAAAATAATAAATAACTTATTAAAACTGTATACTACTAACTTGTACTAATAAAGATTGCAGTTATTGCTGAGAATTTCTGAGAAAATGTTTGATAAAATGTAATGTTTAGGTGACTGTTTGATAAAATGTTTGATAAAATGTAATGTTTAGGTGACTGCTTGATAAAATGTTTGATAAAATGTAATGTTTAGGTGACTGTTTGATAAAATGTTTGATAAAATGTAATGTTTAGGTGACTGTCCAGGGTTCAACTGAGTGTTCATCTGAAAAAAAGAATAAAACATTTAAAAATGCAATTTCAGGTTTGTTGTTTTTGTACAAGATTTTGAAAACAATGTCGTAACATTACAAACCAAATTCCAACCTGTATCCCCTGTATCCATTGTATCCCTTGTATCCCATTAATTTCCTGTATTTACTGCATCCCCGGTATTTCCTTTATCCCCCGTATTCTCTGTATTTCCTGTATCCCCTGTATTTATTTTATCCGATGTATCCCCTGTATTTCCTGTATCCCCTGTTTCACCTGTTTGCCCTGTTGCCCCTGTATTCCCTGTATCCCCTGTATCCCCTGTATCCCATGTATCCCTTGTATCCCCTGTATTCCCTGTATCCCCTGTATCCTCTGTATCCTCTGTATCCCCTGTATCCCCTGTATCCCCTGTATCCCCTGTATCCCCTGTATCCTTGAGTATCAGTAAGAAACTATATTTAGATCTGCTTAACTCTGTATCCCCTGTATCCCGGAGTACAAATGGACCCTCCTCCCTCCCCTCCGCTTTACCATCCTACCCTAAAAAAGAAAATAGGTAAATATCATTTATTAAGAAAATAGGTAAATATCATTTATTAAGAAAATAGGAAAATATCATTTATTAAGAAAATAGGTAAATATCATTTATTAAGAAAATAGGTAAATATTATTTATTAAGAAAATAGGTAAATATCATTTATTAAGAAAATAGGTAAATATCATTTATTAAGAAAATAGGTAAATATTATTTATTAAGAAAATAGGTAAATATCATTTATTAAGGGACTTTTTTATGACTTTCATTGCATGACTCAGACTGCAACCTACTTTTTTATTCTTTTAATAATTGGATAAATTTTTAACATGAACATTGTACACTAAACAATTTAAACAATACACTGTACACTTTAGACTATAAACAGTACATTTTACACTACAAACTGTACACTCTACGCTATAAACTGTACACTGTCCGCTATAAACTGTAAACAGTGTACATTTTACACTACAAACTGTACATAATACACCATTTATTGTACACTGTGCATATCTAGGATTGGAGAAGTTCATCATCTTGAGCAACATTGTAAAAACCTAGAGGGAGAATTGGATCAGGTAATTTGATAGTTAGGGTACAGGGTGTCCCACGAAACATGACAGTATGCAAGAGGCCTTGAGTGTCGTCTTGATTTTTGATATAATTTGCTGCGTTTATTTGTCATTAAATTTATATTGAGCTTTATTATGTAGATAACAAATGTAATAATATTGATTATAATAACAATATTAAAATCTATAATTATATTGATGATACTATTAGGTTAAGTTTGAAATAATTCGAATGATAAGCGAGAAGGCAGGATACTCTAAGGTTCGTATTTTTAAAGCAAAAATTAATTCACCTGTTCCTTGTCTCCGATTTCCCCTTTGTTTCTCTTTCCTCCTTCGATGTTTGTCTTAAAAATTTGACTTCTAAGAAAATCAAATATTTGAAGGATTTAACTTTAAGTAATGCTGAATTAGAGATTTGAGAAATTGAGAGAGAGAGAGACGTTCACAATAATGTAGGGATTATCCGAAGGGATTAGGCTTGATTTTAACATGTTTATGGATTGAAGTATTTTCTGAAGGGATTGAACTTGGTTATAGCAAGTTTATGGATCGAATTATTATCTGAAGGGATTGGAGTTTATAACAGCAAGTTTAAGGATTGAAGTATTATCTGAAGGGATTGAGCTTTATAGCAGGTAGTTTATGGATTGCGTTATTACAGTTAAACCCTAAATAAGCCATACATCGAAAGAATTTATCAAATGTCGTATTCTTCACTTTCTGATAATGGAATGTTGCAGATATTTAGTTTTTATTAAATAATTATAAGGAGTTCTTTAAAACTGTTCCCGCATATTCATTGCTATTTATCTATTTTCGCAAATACTGAGATTTACGCAAAATAGTATAAAACGACATTTGATAAATTCTTTCGATGTAAGGCTCATTTAGGGTTTGACTGTATCTGAAGGGATTGAAATTGATTATAGCAAGTTTATGGATTGAAGTATTATCAGAAGGGATTAGGCTTGATCATAGCAAGTTTATGGATTGAAGTATTATCCGAAGGGATTATGTTTGATTATAGCAAGTTTATGGATTGAAGTACTATCCGAAGGGATTAAGCTTGATTTTAGCAAATTTATGGATTGAAGTATTATCCGAAGGGATTAGGCTTGATTATAGCAAGTTTATGGATCTGAAGATCAATTCTTTTTTGTTTTTATGAATATTATGCCATGCCCAATACAGGGACAAAGTTTCCATAAGTTCTTAATTAGTTGTTTTAGCTAAAATACTTACCTAATATTCCTGCTTTTAAAAATATTGTTTGTTTGTCTAGGAAGGATCTGAAATTGCATGCATTTCAAAACCGCAGAATTGTTGCAGAAATGCAACTTTGCAAATTTAGTAATAAAGTTGAAAACTGTGCAAAAACAAAACAAGATATATAGCAAAATCAACAAAATCTATCCCTTTGTTTGTTTTGTTATTGTTTCCGGTTTTTGACATCAATTTTCATATGAACTGTTAACAGCTATTAGACATCATTAACTTATCTTTAAAATAACGAAATTTCAAAAAATAAACTTAACATTTCATTAGAACGTGTTGGATTGAAAAATACCAAAAGAGCAATTTAATGAGCAATTTCCAACGACTACAGATTCTGCAGTGCATAAATAGACATCACGACAGTTTGTTTGGTTTTTTAACATTGGTTATAAACAAATTATCTGTTTTTTAGGAAAATGAAACTCTTCGCCAGTACAGAGCAGCCTTCGAGGAACTTCAGAGAGAAAATACAAGTTTACAAAGGTAATCCTTCAACAATTCATACATTCCTTAGTTTATTCTTCAACCTTTCACCCATCCTGTAGTTTATTCATCCTTTAATTAATTTATTCAAATTCTTACATTCAATGTATTCTTTCATTCATTCTATCATTTTTTATCTATCCTACATTCTTCATTCTCCCTCAGAAAGAGGAGGCTAGTTAATGGAAGTATTCATACTTTCACTTTTTTAATCATCCTGTTGTTCATACATTACTCAATTCACCTTTCTTTAATTTACTTATTCGTTTATTCTTTTTACACTTTATACATTGTACTTCAGAGAGAGAAAGCTTGTTAATGGAGTTACTTTCACTCTTTTACTTATCCTTTCGTTCATTCATTTCTCACCTTTCCATCATTCTGTTCTTTGAACAACAGGATGAAATATAATTAATGATAACTTCAAACATTAACATTTCACACATTTTAGACTCAAATATGACATTAAATTTTCCTTTGGACATAAAACAAAGCAATTGTGCAGTGTAAACAGATCCATTTAATTAGTAAGTAATTAAATAACTTACTAGTAAAGCTATTTGCTTCGTAAAAACATTATATATGTTTACACCTTTGTATTGCTTTAATGTCGTCTTTATATTCTATAGTTTTCTGGTGGGTGGGGAAATGTTCAAATAAAAATCTCTACAAAAATTACGACGCCAATTTATTTTCCTGACGTATTGTTCAGAAAATTTTTAGTCCTTGAAAATATATTTTTTATTTTTATTTTTTATTTTCTTCAGGGAGCTTGAGTATTTAAGATTACCTGCTCGTTTCTCACCAGCTAGTGACGAGATACAGAACCTTGAAGCTGCTGACACAAGAAATGAGCTGCTTCCCTTCCAGAATACTGCTGTCAGTCCCTTACCAGGAGCTGCTGGCAGCAGTACTCTGGAGATTCCTAGCTTACTGGAAGCAGCCAGCAGCATAACCCTAGGTAAAGATATATATTTATTTATAATTAAATGATTACTGTTTTTGTAAAAATCAGACGGTTTTTATAATTTTTAAAATGTTCAAGACACATATAAAGCAGTTTTAGTACAGGGATGAATATAATAACATCCCCCCCACACCATCCTTTCTGGGATGAATATAATAACATCCCCCTCCCACCCACACCATCCTTTCTGGGATGAATACTTAAGAAAATTTTATTCATTTTTTTCTAAATAATTTCTGCTGGTCATAATATATTGTTGATATTTCCAAATTCAAAAAGTATGAAAAAATTTATATTAAAAATTGTAAAAATATTTAGAGATTCCAATTATGCAGCGGAGTAGCCCTGATGGACAGGAGTTTGAACAAAACTGTCTGGGCAGAGAAACTTTACAGGTTTAAAACACAGCTTTTACAAAAAGCAATCATCAGACTGCAGTGTCTATGATTCTCAATTATTAGAAATAAAGAGATTCCTATAAAACTTTGGAATACAAATTACAATGAGGACTTTTAAACTAAAGACAAGATTTAAATTTGTTTTCCAAAGAAAGAAAGCCATTGTACAACTTTTTGCTTTTATAACAACACCAATTATACGATAAAATTGGTAAATCATAAAATGTGGTGTGTTTCCTCTGATGGCTAAGAGTGACTCGTTATACGAATGGAAGACAAGTGTGTAATGTGTATACTTTGTATTTTAAATCTTACAGTGAATCCCAGATATAAGAATACAAAGCAAGAGTTTTTTATAATGTCGTATTCTCAATTCATGTATTTAAGATAAAATGCCGCGGTAGACTGCAGTTTACTGTATCAATTGTTGTCCTACATGTTTCTAATAATTTACCTTGAATTAAAAATAAAAGAAATTTCTTAAGAATTATCAAAAAACTTATGACTCTACCAATGTTATTTGGATATATTTTCATAAATCGTATTTGCAACCCTTTGAAGCTGTGAGAATCTCAGTAGTAGCTTTCTTTTAGTGCAGAACCACGATGAAGCATAACATCTGTCATATATTTCAAGGCGACATTTCATGCACTATTGTTATGGATTCTTATGTGTGAGATGGGCTGTAGTACAGTTAAACCCTAAATAAGCCATAAATCGAAAGAATTCATCATATGTCGTATTCTTCACTTTCTGAAAATGAAATGTTGCAGATATTTAGTTTTTTAATTAAATTATTATATGGAGCTCTTTCAAACTGTTCCCGCATATTAATGGCTATTTATCTATTTTCGCAAATACTGAGATTTACGTAAAATATAGAAAACCAATTGAAATATTTTCAAGACGACATTTGATAAATTCTTTCGATGTATGGCTCATTTGGGGTTTAAATCGTTGGTTTAAATGTATTAGGTTTTAAGTTTTATTTATTTTTTTACAGGAGAAGATTTGCGAACTGGAGAAGGAAAAAGAAGAAGAAAACAAAAAATTCAAAGGAACTGTAAATGAGAACAAAAACTAAACAAAAAATATACATGGAAGACGATATTTGACACAAACATGTCAAATTTTAATCTTTGAATTTGAAGTTATCAGAGCCGGAATCTTCTCTTGGATAAATTTTATATTTAACGCTGTTTCAACTTTGGTGAGATTGTACGAAACATGACAGTAGCAATTGACGAATTGAAATTCGTCTTTGATTTTTGATACCATTTTCTGCATTTATTTGTCACCTTAATTTTAGAAGTAATATTTTAGAGTTAATAATCACAAAATACCCCCGTACTGTGGTCCGCTTTCTTTCTGCTTTTAATATTACCCGAGATATGAAGATTTTCGTTCAGATTTCGACAATTTTTGCTTTATTTAACAAAATTAAATCTGAACGTAATATCTCCGGTAAAATAAACAGCACAAAAACGGCAGACCATATTTTGGAAATGCCAGGACTAGGAGAATATATTATTCTTTCAAAAATCATAAAGTAGGTTGACGACAAATAAATTCCAAGATCAAAGACGACTTTCTGTCATGTTTCGTGGAAGCTTAAAGCTCATCTTGCAGATAACCATAGCTTGAAGACGACATTTAGAACCATCTTGTAAATTTGTTTGTTCTGATGAGTATGTTTGATTAGAATCTATATCCGGGTTAGAAGCTAGGGTTGGTGAGCTCCAGGAGAGTTTAGAACTCATGAGATCAGAGTTCGAATCAATGGAAGACTACTGGCAGACTAAACTAGAGGTAGATGAACGGGATTCATGGGGTTTCGCGCCATTTTTAGTATGAATGAGACTAAAACTTCGGCTTAGGATTTTGCATTTGTAAATATTTTATCTGATGTATTTTTGCATTTTTTCAAATATGCATTAGTACAATTTACGAAATCCTGTAGCATACTAAATGTTTGTAATCTGGGTAACAATGTTGGTTAGTAGAGTTTTACTTTCAAGTAAACACAGTAACCATATTTCTGTTTCTGAACGATCCCATGAATTGTTCCGAACACATTAAAAAAAATCAGTTGAAAATATAAATGATATTTTTTTGATTTTGATTAAAAAAATAATTGACGACAAAAATTCCCCCGTTTTCTTAATACTACTGTTCAGGGTTCCTCACAAAATATGAGATTTCAGAGATGACTGTACAGAATTTAAACTGTTTGTTTCATATATAATTTCCTACAGCTGTGAACAAACAATTGTTTATAGCTGTAGGAAATTATATATGAAACAAACAGTTTAAATTCTTTCTTTGCCTTTATTCATGAAATAAGCCATAAAAAGCTATAACATTCTTGGAGGAAAAACATTATATAATCTTGGGATCGTCATATTTTAAGAGTTTCTGGTCGTCTTTACAGTCTCATCTTTTGGGGGTAACCCTGTATGATACATGAAAATATATTAAAGGAGGAGAGAGAGTTCTACGAGAAGCAGCTCCGACACTCCGAGGAGCAGTTCAGGTTAGTTTAAAGGAATTGTTCACGGCTTTCTCAGTAATTTACTCTAAACGGAAAAATTCTACTTATTAATCAATATTTGTTATTTGCTCTTTTTGTAATTATCAGCGTTTTTTTCAATGTATTTTGCAACTAAAAAGTATTAAAGAAGCATCACCCAAAGCTTCAAAGCTAAAAAATATTAACTCTACAATTTTAGGGAGCTGGAAGTTCGGGTTAAAGAGTACGAAGGTCTACTGCTAGGAGAGGTAAATATAGGAATTAAAGGAATTGCAAGTCTTTGCCACATAATCAAATTTCTATTCCCTATATTCTTGCAACCTGATGGTGTAAACTTCTTATGTTTTTTGTTGTTTTGTTTCTACAGAATTCATAGTTTGAAATATCTGTGGTCAGCCACATTTGGTTGCAAAGCTAAAGGATTTTAAAAATTAGAGTTTGTTGCAAACACTTAAATCTTTTCTAGATAAGTAAATGAGGCTGTGAAGGGACTTTATAAAGATATGTAAATCCTGAGTTTGAGTGCAAAGTCGACGTTCAAAATCGTAATTTTGGGTGGATATGTTTTCAGAATTACGACGACGAAAAATGTAAACAAAATTCTATAGTAAACTAATTAGTTGTTTAGTAACAGGTTGAGAAAATAAAAATTAACTCTTATCATCGAAAATAAGTAATCTTGTTAAATTATTAGTTTCTATAATCTCTCTTTAAACACAAAGATTTTCAGCAGATTTTTGGAATTTTTATTTAAAAGACGACATTTATAGAATTTGATGGAATCTGCGAACAAATTCATAGAAAAAAAGAATGTCAATATAATGATGAAAAAGGAAATAATCAATTCTAACTTCGATTTATTGACAAATTTCTTTTGAGAAATATGTTCCTAAACATCTAATTTGTTTACTATAGAATTATACTATATTTTTCTTCGTCGTTATTTGATAATAAAAAAAGCGATTCTGAAATTCTCAGATATTATACATCGTCTCAAATAAATCCTAAAGAATTGTTTCACAACTCTGCATACTCTTACATAGCCGGTCTGCCCCTTTAAACCCATCTCTCAGAGAAAATGATGGATGTTTACTTTCTGAAAATAAAAAGTTTAATAAAGTTACATTTGATTTGTACAACAGAAACAATGAGCAAAATTTACAGAATGTTATCGAGATAAAGGTTTAAAGGTATCGTTGTGAATTGGTCGGGTAACTGTGTGAAGGGAGGGTTTTGCTCAAAATAACGGGAGCAGACATTTTTATTTTGTAAATGAAGGGGAAAGACTTTAATCTTGTGAAGCTGTCTTATTTCTGTGCTTATTCATTTACTAAACCATGAAAATAATCAATTCAATGCAGAAACCAAAAATCAAGGTTCAAATCGTCATAGTTTTGGGTCGTCTTTGTGGCTAATCTGTAATTGAGGAAAGTATCTCTTCATTAAAGTTCTAATATTCGGTATTTTGATTACTTTTCAGAAAAAAAGATTTTTTACAAGATTTTTGATCTTTATTCGAATTTCTAAAAATTATACTTTGGTTTTGACTAAATATCTGTTCATTGAGATAAAAAGGTGATTGGTTTATTTTTTCACATAAACTTCATACTGGGTCGTATTTCTAAAAAGATTTTAATATTGTATAAGACAAACATGAAAGTTGCATCCAGAAATTACATAGTTCTTCAGGCACTCTCTTCATACTTTTACGTTTAAACTTGAAGATTATCCAAAATAATATGGGACCCTGAATAGAAACTTATTGTTTAAACCGTCTAAAGGGTATTTTTCATTTCCCTAGTTTTGTTTATTGTAAAGTTTATTCTGTATTATTTAGACTGGTAAGGTGAAGTATATTCTGTATTATTTAGACTGGTAAGGTGAAGTATATTCTGTATTATTTAGACTGGTAAGGTGAAGTTTATTCTGTATTATTTAGACTGGTAAGGTGAAGTATATTCTGTATTATTTAGACTGGTAAGGTGAAGTATATTCTGTATTGTTTAGACTGGTAAGGTGAAGTATATTCTGCATTATTTAGACTGGTAAGGTGAAGTATATTCTGTATTGTTTAGACTGGTAAGGTGAAGTATATTCTGTATTGTTTAGACTGGTAAGGTGAAGTATATTCTGCATTATTTAGACTGGAAAGGTGAAGTATATTCTGTATTGTTTAGACTGGTAAGGTGAAGTATATTCTGTATTATTTAGACTGGTAAGGTGAAGTATATTCTGTATTATTTAGACTGGTAAGGTGAACTATATTCTGTATTATTTAGACTGGTAAGGTGAAGTATTTTCTGTATTATTTAGACTGGTAAGGTGAAGTATATTCTGTATTGTTTAGACTGGTAAGGTGAAGTATATTCTGTATTGTTTAGACTGGTAAGGTGAAGTATATTCTGTATTGATTAGACTGGTAAGGTGAAGTATATTCTGCATTATTTAGACTGGTAAGGTGAAGTATATTCTGTATTGTTTAGACTGGTAAGGTGAAGTATATTCTGTATTATTTAGACTGGTAAGGTGAACTATATTCTGTATTATTTAGACTGGTAAGGTGAACTATATTCTGTATTATTTAGACTGGTAAGGTGAAGTATTTTCTGTATTATTTAGACTGGTAAGGTGAAGTATATTCTGCATTATTTAGACTGGTAAGGTGAAGTATATTCTGTATTGTTTAGACTGGTAAGGTGAAGTATATTCTGCATTATTTAGACTGGTAAGGTGAAGTTTATTCTGCATTATTTAGACTGGTAAGGTGAAGTATATTCTGCATTATTTAGACTGGTAAGGTGAAGTTTATTCTGCATTATTTAGACTGGTAAGGATGATGACCGTCTTTCGACAATAGAGGAGAGCAGCAGTATGGAGCTTCAAGCATCAGAGTGGGAGCAAGAAATCATGCAGCTCCGAACCCAGCTGGAGCTCCTAGAGCAGGAGCACAGCTGTTCCTTGGAGCAGAGTAATATAGACTGGAGCAGTAGAGTGGAGGATCTCCAGGAAGAACTAGAGAAGGAGAGAACTCTGAGAAAAGCTGCGGAGCAGGGACGGATAGAGTTAGAGGAGAGATTAAACCTCCAGCAGGTTCAATCTTCTCCTAGTACAGTTCTCAAATCTGAGCAGCAGCTCTCCAGTCTACCGGAGTTAAGCGATACCAAGGTTTGGGGTAGAGAATATGAATTTACCAAAGATATTCCAACATTTACTCCTCATACTCCAGCCTTATCAAACCAGGTAGTATAAATTCATGAATTTATTTTAAACGGCATCTTATTAACATTTTTGATCTCATGTTGATTGAATTGAAACTCAACCGAGATTTTAGGAATTCGTCCTTACTCCTTAATTTTTGCTTTACCAATTACTGATTCTTTTTAATATTTTTTTTTGTGGGTTTTGTTAAAGAATTTATATTTTAGGGTCCAAGTTCATTACCCGCAGATTTAGTCAACACTGCACATATTTTAATATCTTGAATTTATCAATGTAACGAATTGCTAGGGAGGTGAGAAGGTTGCAGGATCTCCGAAGAATAATTCAGGAGGAGTGTGATCAACTTCTTCTACGGAAGGAGCGTTTGAAAGAAGAGGTCGGATTTTCTCTCTCCTTTAATCCCTCCTGGGAGGGGGATACTTTTTTGGGCACACCATTTCTCGAGGCGGGGCTAGGGAATCTTGCACTAGGTGATGGATGTAAAGAAGAGGAACCCGTACCACCACCTCCTCCTACTGATGCTAGGAACTGGAGCTGGGATTGGTTGGACCAGGAGGAAAAGGACGGAGAGGATAAGAGTACAGTGTTCAGAGCATGGGGTGTAAACAAACCATTAGGAGCCGAGGGATCAGCACGCTCCTCTAGATCTAGAACCAGAAATAGGGTTGGGAATGTCAGGGAAAAGATGGTGGAAGGGTTGGATCTCATGACGAGAAGGTTTGGTGATGGTTTGAGTAGAGAAGAGTCAGCTGATGGATTATCTAGTCACGTGGTTTCCGGTTGTACAGATGCATGTACACAGATCCCCAGCTGTGATGAGCTGGAGATTCAAACAGAAGCTGTTGCTGCTCTAGCCACAGCGTACAAGGTGGTGGATTGGATTGTTTTGCTTCACAAATTTTACAAATCTTCACAACATTTTTTTTTTAAATGACTGTAGTTCTAATTTCAAGTGACCCTCCATATTTTTATTCGTCTGTCCGATTCACAAGGGTACCCTTTTAAACCTTTGTATGAGATTCACAACACACACTTTTAAACCTTTGTATAAGATTCACAACACACACTTTTAAACCTTTTTATGAGATTCAAAACACACCCTTTTAAACCTTTTTTTATGAAATTCAAAACACACCCTTTTAAACCTTTTTATGAGATTCAAAACACACCCTTTTAAACCTTTTTTTATGAAATTCAAAACACACCCTTTTAAACCTTTGTATAAGATTCACAACACACACTTTTAAACCTTTTTATGAGATCCTTAATTTGCTAATTAGTTATTTCTATAAAAGTGACTTGTTGATCAGATCGATAATGAAGGAAAAGATTAATTTAACACTTTTCAAGATAAAGAACGCCGATATCTTCCTCATTGTTACTCGGATAAGTTTATAAAAGGATACTGTTGTGAATCAGACATGCCACTCTACATATACATGGAAAGTCATATGAAATTATGTCCACATTTCCTTTACACTTATGGTAGAATGTATTTTTAAAATACACTTTCTGTATTTTAAAATTTTTTTTAATGTTCGTAAAAACTATGACCTCCTCCTTTCGTTTTTAATTCTGCACAGCATTTTTTGCACATCTTATGTTTTTCACTGTTTAGTTCATTGAACTAAATTGAATGAATGAGAATGCACGCTATTTTTTTTACTTTGACTTATGTACTTACAGTGTGTTCTACGTATCATGATGATCAAAAATGTTACATTCATAAAATTAATTCTATTAAAAAAACTTATATCATGATAAAGTAAAACATTCTCTATTGATCATGTAAAGTGAAACACACTGTATATAAATATATATCTAAAGTTTTCTTTAATATTTCGTGGTTTATTGGAATTGCACTGTAAGGTGTTTTAGCATGTATGTACGAACATATAGATCTTAGATAAAGTTTATCATTTTCCCAACTTTTGATTTATTGAACTAGGGCTAATTCATTCAGAGTCTAAAACTAAAGAATGAAAAGTTTCGACTTAAATGTGAAGTTTCAGCTTAATTACCACTTCTGACTTAATTTAAACCTGAATCTACCCTGGGGTTAAATATTTAATTCGCCAAAATCGACGATTAAAATTTAAACCCAGGGTTAAAAATCTTGAAATGCTGCATTTTACCTATTTGTCTTTTAATCAATCATCATTCAGCTGAGAAAGCGGCATTCAACTTTACGATAGATTTAATAGTGAAAATCTTGATTGAAGAAATTTCACTTTTTAGATTAATTAATTTTGCATGTAAACCCAAAAAACTGTTGTAACTGGAAATATGTTTTGTTTTTGGTTTCGTAAATTACTTATAATTAAAAAAACAGCTGATAAGTGATGGTTACGTGAATCCTTTTCTCTGATTGGTTCAGATTTTCCCCGGGAAATTCAAATTTACTTTCAAGGTTAAATTAAGAAAGTGTAATTTTTTAGTAGCAACTCATTATTTTACAGAACTTTTAAGCTATTACTTAAATTTCGCGCATTCTTTAGTTTTAAACTCATGAGGTTCAAAAGTTTAGTGGACAAACTTTGAACCATTTTATAATGTTGTACTTCTGTTATTTGTAAATTAATTGAAAAGAAGGTCTTATATGATATATTTTTTTGTTATTTAATTTGAACATATTTAAATTTTGTTGTCAATGTTTAAAGGTTGTGTACTGTGATATTGAACGTGAGAAAGCAAAGCTTGTACAAGAGCTGGCACAGGCCAGTAGTACTGTTGTACAACCAGACTCAGGACTGTACAGTTGTTTACAAAATAGGTAAAAAAAACAAAGGAATAGAATAGGTTTGCTTGAACGTAAAACGCCAAAAGTCTGGACCAAATTCACAGAATTTTTTTTGGAAACCCAAAAATCAATTTTTTACGCACATTTTCGGGCACTTCAGCTCGTCATTTTTAATATTTTAGACTGAATGAACAGACAAGAAGATGTGAACAGCTGCATACAGCGCTATTACGACAGCAGGCTCAAACTAAACATATTCTAGAAAGTAAGCCGTTAATCTTATGTTTTTTTTAATAATATCTTTAATTTTAAGTATGTTGAGAATTATGATAAATCATTCTTATAATTTTGTTATTTTATGAAACTAAACACTGTCCAAAACTCAAATTTTTTCCTTTTTTCTAATATCTTTATTCTAATGCAGACCTTCGATATTTATAAATCAAAGTTTAAAATATTAAAGGTTTACACCATTAGGTTCCAGAGATTTAGGAATTAGAAAGTTAAAGTCTGGTGCAAGTATGCCGAGCAGGGGATTTTTTGTATTGTACATATACACATACTCCCGATCTTAATATCCATTGTGGAAACTTTTAATTTTAGCATCTATAAAAAAACCACACCCATCCATATCTTCATTTTAGTTAGTGCTCCCTTGATTAAAGCTTCCTCCTTCAACCCTGCCTGGGTACATTTACAATGTGGATATCGAATAACGATTAATTTAATCTGCAGATTAACAATTATCCATAATACCCTAGTTTTCAGCTCAAGTATTATTATATTCTAGGTTCTCGGGAGCAGCATCTGTCAGAGGTGGAGCAGCTGGAAAGTTTAGTAGCAGCTGCACAGCAGCTTGTAGCTAAACAGACCAACAAGTATACTCAGCAGCTTGAGAAGCTTTCACTTGCAGATCGTGTAATATTAGAGCTGGTGGAGGAGAATGATGCTCTTGTAACTGCTCTAACAGATCTTCAGGTGTAACCTTTACAATAATTCTTCCACTGTCAATTTTCAAGAAAATCAGACTTTTATCAATCTAAATTTTAACAACGTTTGAATTGTGTGAAAAGTCGAAAAAATGTCATTTAAAATTGCACTTATTGAAACCCACCTTGGCTAGGCTTATACATTTTTTTCGTTTTCAATCATAGACTTTGGTTTCTAAAGCATGTGTACACAATGCACATTGCAGAATTAAAATTGAGAAATTTTAAAAATTGACATTTATATCCAATCCTATCTTAACTTAAGGAAGAACCTCATTTTAACTACTTGGCGACTTTTTCAATTATTTAGTTTTTAAAATAAAACTTGTTTACTTGGTTTCCTTCAACATGTTAAAACTTATCAACTGAGTTTTTGCCACAAACTCAAATTCTCTTATCCCTATATCTTCGCGACCTGATGGTGTAAACCTTTGATATTTCAAACATAGATTATTTGATCTATTAAAATTTATAGTTTGAAATAGATAAGGTCTACGACATAGAGATTAGAAAATCAGATTTTGTGGCAAAGATTCAACAATTTAACAACCTGAATTTATATGCACTATAGTTAGCTCGGGGTTGAGAAATTTTGATTTTTCTCAATAATTCTCCTGAGTTAAAGGTTTATTAACATAAACCTTGCCATCTAAAATTATTTAAAATGAGAGATATTTTTAACTTAGGTTACAGCAATTATTAGATTAAAAAAAAACTTCAATTTTTCTTGAAATCTATTTTCAAGAGCAAAAATGTTTAGTTGAGATTTGAGAAAGGATATTTGAATTGTGGTATAGAAATCATTTCCTATATTTTACGATGGTATTTAAACTTTCTACATGGAAGGGGGGGGGAGGTCATACATGATTTTATTATTTAGACAACTTAATTGGTATTGTACATACTAAACCATAAAAATTACAAAATAAACAGTTAAGAATGAAACTGCTGGATTAAAGAAATCTACAGAATACTTGATAATGTCAACAGATGTTTCATTTTTTATTCTTCAATTCAAATATCTATTAAATTACAAGTTCACAACATACAATTATACAATAAAATGAATTTTTTTTTCAGAGGAAAACCAGAATTCATAAACAATCTCAACAACCTCAAATATCCCCTGAAACCCCTGATAACAACACTGAAAATCTAGATATTCTTAAATATTCTGAGAACTCTGTGGAATTAGAATCTCATTCTGATAACTTCTATCTCGAAGTCGAGGAAATATAAAATTAGATTTCACGTTGCCTCAAATTAAAGGGATTGTATGCGTAAATGCGAAGGCCACAGTTTTACACCGTGGTTACTTTTATACTAACAAGCAAATTCTGAACATTCAGGCGATATTTTCTCCATTTCAAGATAGTTAATATTCAAAGAACTGAAGGATTAATTTCCTTCATTAGTCGAATAATATAATGCTCGTACAATTATAAATCAAATTATATTGATGATTTTGTTTTGAAAGATCTTTTGTTAACTTCCTGCAATTTGATAATATGTTCTTTAGGGTGTCTATATAAAACCATAAACTGAGCCAGCTTTGCACTTTCTGTCACTTTTAATTTTGTAACTTCGTGTACAATATAAGTTTAAATCTGTTGTACAATGTACAGCTGTGTAGAGACGTGAAAGCACATAAATATGTACTGCATATATGTATCATGTTTATCTTTACATTAAAGGTCAGAATTGTCAATATAAATCTACCGTCCTAATATATGTGATGTCAACATATTTAAAATTGTACACATAAATGTTAAATTATGAAGTATTATTATTATGTATTTAATGTATAAATGTATGTTTACATATTTGTATTTCTTGACCCTTGAACTATGTGTCTAGTCACTTTCTGAGACTCATTATATATATATATAATGTTTATATATGTGTATATATAGTTTATATATATATAGTTTTTGAACTGTTCCAAAAATAGTTAACAATTAACCATCAAATATATCAATCAAAGAATTATATTTTTAACGATAATTTTCACGATTTATGTTTGAAAATCATTTAGTGTTGATACGGGAAAAAAATGGTATGATTATGATACAGGGTGTCCCACGAAACATGAAAGTTGGTGAATAGTTTAAAATGTCTTCTTCCATAATTTGTTGAAATGTGTGATATCAAAGAAAATAATAAAAATATCATATGGCAGTCATTTTTTTTATCGAAATAAACTGCAAACAGTCTTTAATATCTAAGTTAGTATATGGAAGACGACATTAAATCTATTCACCAACTGTTATGTACTTTGGGTAATTTTATTAAACAATTTGTAGGGAGTTTTTACATATACTTAAAACTCTACATAATATAAATAATATAAAAATAATATCAATATAAAATAATACCAATATCAATATAATTTAATAATAATATCAAAATATAATATAATATTATAAAAATATCAATATAATATAATAATAATATCAATATAATTTAATAAAAATATTAATATAATGAAATAACAATATCAAAATATAATATAATAATGATATAATTTAATACAATATAATAACATCAATATAATATAATAATAATATAGTGGGGCTCAGCAAGCTGTTAAATGGGAATAAGACAGTTAGACTTAACTAATGCCTTCAAATAAGGATATGGGCATAAAACACCTCAATTGTGTAGTATACACAGACCTATTTCAATTAATAAGTTAATTTTTAAAGGGATTGTAAAGGAAAAACGAAAGGGGGTGTAGGCTGAAGCCTAAGAACTTCAGGAGATGATCGAGACCTGTAAGAGTTCAATCTGATGTTCCTGTCTCGAGGAACTTGATTTAAAACTGAGTCAAAATTATACCAAAACTAACACATAAGATTCGGTATAATATTTTTAGTTCTAAACAGATCATATTCAGCAAATGCGCAACCAATCTGAAAACGACGATATCCCAGAAGAGCCTGAAAAACTCAGGTCTGCTCATTTATTATTTGAATTTAATAATTTTTCATTTTTAATAGATATACGTTGATAATATAATTGATTTGTCCGTATCACGGGACCAAACTCCCACCAATGGCAGTGCAGTAACATTTTCACGTGTCTCCGTCAGCATCACATGACAATGGTACTGCACTGTCATTGGTGGGAGTTCTATTGGGAAATATATCCCTGAACATCGATCGAATTAGTTTACTGCAGAATTTTTGATGCATTTTTCGTCGTCGTTATGTAATAATTTTTAAAAATCGATTCTCAAAACGTAACCACCCAAATGGATGATTTTGAGCGTCAACTTTACGCTCAAACTCAGTAATTAAACATCATTAAAAAATTGTATATGTCTTAACTGAATCCAAAAAAATTTCTCTTCACAACTAAACTCTTAGTTGAACCACCACACATTGCCGGTATACAAGTTATAAGTTAAGTATTATCCAGAATTCCGACCTGCACACTGAACATTAAATATTACGCATGCATCAGAATAGCAAAGATTTTATTCGGGCGTAACAAGACAAGCCTTCGCATTTCTCAAATATTGCTGAAATAACGGAGATAATTATGTACGTTTTCTCTCAAGGATATTCCACTTGAAAATGCGTAATTTGCGAAAACATTTTTTAACTTGGCCGCGGGAGGACATCATCTTTAACGGAACCCCATTTTCATTGGAAACTCACTTTTCCAGTTTATTAGAGATCACAAAATTGCATTGGAGACCACAAACTTGTTATTGAAGACCCCAAACTATTCGTTGGAGCTGCACTGCAAATTTAAACTAGACAAATTTTGCTGGAAAACCCTAGGTCCCCCTTGTAAAGATTATCATCGGAGAACCCTTTTTTATTTTCTAATTCAACAGAGAGGCCCAGGTTTCAATCGAAGGTTGCCGATATCATCATTGAGGTCGCTGATTCATTAAGGAGGTCGCCGATTTATCAAGAAGGTCGCCGATTTATCAAGGAGGTCGCCTATTCATCATGGAGGTCGCTGAATCATTAAATAGGTCGCCGATTCATTAAGTAGGTCGCCGATTTATTAAAGAGGTCGCCGATTTATCAAGGAGGTCGCCGTTTATCAAGGAGGTCGCCTATTCATCATGGAGGTCGCTGAATCATTAAATAGGTCGCCGATTCATTAAGTAGGTCGCCGATTCATTAAGGAGGTCGCCGATTCATCAAGGAGGTCGTAGATTCATCAAGGAGGTCGCCGATTCATCAAGGAGGTCGCCGATGATTCAATATTGCGTATATTTGGATACGTTATGCTGCATTTCGTGTAGGAAGAAGGAAAGGGGAGGGAATGTATTCAAGTTTTATGTCACTATTTTTACTCTATAAGTTGTATCAACATGATGACTGTTCAGAAAATAACTAAATCACTATTCCGGTTAAATCCTGATCAAGACACGACAAAACTGTTCTTGACGGATTAAAGTTTTGGGTTTAGATTAGGACGTTAAAAATTGTAACATTCAAGTTTTAAGCCCCCCCCCCCTTCTAAGAAGGACTTAATTAATTTGCAACTGTATTAATTGCTTCAAGTTTATAATTCAAAATATAATTTATAATTAACCTCTAAAATAGTAGTTTTTCTTAATTTTATACATTTAAATTGAAAAAACAAATTCTTCTTTAAACCATGCATTAAAAATTAATTGATTCTAGGGCGTGGGACTGATGTCGCTGCCCCCCCCCTCCCTTCCCCCCTTCCTCCTCTTTTTGCGGGATAAAGACAATTAACCTCCGACCGCCAGCTATTAATATTCACACCGATGGTTTACACTTCAACTCTTTCTAAATTAGTATTAAGTAATGTATTTATTACTTATTCTGTTTCCGTTCATTTTTGATTTTAAATCTTTGAACTTTTTGACTTTAACAAATAGTCCTAAATCTGGTTATCATTTAATTTGTTTAAACGATAACTTTTTCTATTTTTTAAACCTTTAATTATCCATTTTCTCTTTTTGCTCTTTTCTATATGACACTGCAGTTGTTTGTCTAAGCTGTGAAATTTTGCAATTTTGTAACAATTGGTCATAATTACACATTATAGAAATCATAGCGTGGGAGTTTTTGTGAACTTGAAATTCTATATAACGGATATCTTGTAGTAAAATTTAATATGAATTCTATATAACGGATATCTTGTAGTAAAATTTAATATGAATTCTATATAACGGATATCTTGTAGTAAAATTTAATATGAATTCTATATAACGGATATCTTGTAGTAAAATTTAATATGACTGAACCATATTTTTGCAGGAACATGCTGATACATGCTGATATAAACATGCATTTGTGATTGTTAACATTTTTCTTTCTTATGTTTCTTTTAAATACACATGGAATGATGGAAGTGTTATAATTTCCTGGATTATTTCGTAGAATTGAGAATACGTTTCGGATAAACTTTATTCTGTAATATACTATTTTACTCATAACTTAAATTATTTGTTTGATTTTTGCTTCATCATTATTGATCAAAATACTCAGAAACAAGGGGTTGCAAATTTTTCTCCAAAAAAATTGATGGCGGAAATTAAAACTTCCGAAAATTTAAATCTTTTGGAATTTTATCTAAAATTTGCTAATATGTATTTCTTTTAATGGTTATCTTTTCAAAACCGTAATTTACAGGGTTTCCAAAAAAGATGACGACCTGAAACTCCTTAAAATTTAAGGAGAGGGAATTTGGTTTTCTTTATTAGGTCTGAAATAAAATATGTTCATGGTATACACTGATAAAGACTGTATAAATATTGTTGAAAAGTCCTCTTTGAAGTCTCATTTATTGTTAGTAACCCTGTATATTTAATATGACATGTCCTTTTTTCTTCAGAATTCCTGAAATCGTTTAACGAATAATAATGTACATCTATCTACTTGTCTATCTATTAGATTACATATGGCATGTGGTCTCTCCTATAGTTCCTTAGATCAGTAATCAACAGGCACTCAACCAGTGAACAATATTTCTATACCAGGGGGGGGTAATATAATATATTGCCCAATTTCGGACAAAAGCCCAAATTATCTTTGCACGAAGAGACATTTGTCTAATTTGTATTCCAAAAGTCTTTAATTTACCAGTTCTTTTAAAATTTGACTGAAATATTAGACTAAACGAAATAAGTGTTTTCTCAATCAGTTTTAGGAAATTAGGTTTCGATGTCAATTCTTTTTGAGTATTGCCATGTTTTTATTGGGATACACTGTATCTTAAGCTAACCGTTAAAGTTCTAACGAATAATAAAACAATAATTCTCATTATTTGAAAGAAACCAATTTGCTTTGATAAAATGCACTAGTCCAGCTTCTAAACTTCTCACACAACAAACACTTCAAGGTAAAAATAGTAGTTTACGTTATTCCACTAAATATATTATATACTAAAATATATATGTATTGAAGACTAAAAATATGTCTATATTACTTAGCAATTCAAAGATGAATGACTGAGATTTTTGGTTGAGAATTCTATCAACAAAAGAAATACAAATCAGGGTTAAAGAAATAAAGAACTGAAGAACTGAAGAACTAAAGAACTGAAGAACTAAAGAACTAAAGAACTAAAGAACTAAAGAACTAAAGAACTAAAGAACTTAAAATTTGGCATTTACTGTAGAGGTAACGTTAAGTGACCCTCCGCTGAAACAGTGGCATGTCTGATTCACAATCACAACTAACTTTTTGAACCTATTATTGAGTTAGTAATAATTAGCAAGATTTTATGTTGTGAAATTCTAACACTTTCCTTTGTTGTCTCTTTAGCTTAAATTCGTGAGTCAGTTTTGTTTAGAAACTGCAATTGAAAATGATCCTATTTTAGGAAGAAAAAAAGGATATTTTATTCATTCTTGATCCGATTAAATGGTTATATTTTATTTAAAACTGCAACTAATCTAAAATTATTTATAAAATTATTCAAACGATTTAAAATTTTATTGTCAGAATCATATTGGTAAAGATAATAAAATAATTCTTTTAATCAATAATTGCCTGTTAAGATAAAGCAAAGAAAAAGTTGGTCACGGAAGAATTCTTCCGCATCATCTAGTTTGACACATGAACACATGAACAAACATAATACACTTAAACATACTGTGCAATGTGCACGCACGTAACGTAAAGTCTGGAAAAATTCCGTGCAAATTTTCATAAATTCAGGCAATTTTTTTTCTAAAAAGAGATTTTAAAGATAACATATTTATCGATCACTGTTCGATATATTTACATTTAATAAAGAAACTGATTCCTTGTCAAAAATTTTAATTTTCTTATGTGTATAATTTTGACTAATTGATCTAGCAGCAGGTTTCTTTCCATATTGTCCAAAATTTGATTTTAAAGTTAAATTTCATCATTAGAACCGTTTTTAAATTAAATGGAAGCAGTGCTCGAATTCATAAGAATATCTTTATATCTATGATAGTTAATCTTATATTTATTTATTTTTACAGTTGTACTCTGTTTGTATGTAAAAATTCGGCTAGATTAAACAGTTAAAGATTAAAATATAAAGACGTTTTTCCGTCAGGTTGCAAAAATATAAGTATAAAAAACAAGGGTTTGTTGTGGTAAAATTTTCCATTTGAGTTTAAAGACGGGTTCAGATTGAGATAAGCCAAGAAGCGCTGGTAATTCGTCTTCAATTTTTGTATTTACTTGTAGGTAGATTTAATCAATGTCAAATATTTCCAAACAAGATATGAGAAGGGGGGGCACCATATGTTAAATATTCTAATATAAAAGATAAATGGTGCAGTTTAAGAATGAAATGACTAGGCTCTGGTGGAAAACCACAAAAAATAGAAAAACGTGCAGGATTTAAATTTGAATTATGAAGAGTGCAGATTTCAATTCAAGGTTATGCAAATATCTTTCCAGTTTTCACATCTAGTTCTCCTCCAGTAAATATACTTGTTGCGAATTTCAAATTATGGAATTGCTTTTCTCATTTTTTTGTGTTTTGTCATTTTTTTCATGGTTTAAGATCTAAGATTTAAAAATATATATTTTGATATTTTTTAATTTTCCCTTCAAACTAACAGCTAACAAAATCATAAAAAATGTTTATTCTCTGCACGGGCAGCCGTAGTACATTTGAATTTCCGAGCCGGGTCAACCGGTTTCCGGTCCCAGTTTGTACTGTATCGCCCGGGCATTGGGTAAATAATGCAGAAACTCAATAGGACTAGCCGGTGCAACAAGGATGACGCGGTCAGACTTTAGGTCGAATTTACTTTTACTAAAGGGACAGAGCTGCGTGTCTGTCATCATTACGACACTGCCCCTTTAAACATATATATTTGTTATTAATTGGAAATCTATGCATAAAAATATGAAGGATCAGGAATAACTTTTTATTTAACATAAATTTATATTTAACAGGTATTTAAGAATGTCCAACAATAATTCTGTCGTCATGAGTTTTTTCTGAGCCTTGGAATATCTCTATAGTCTTGACCCTGGGCTGTCTAAACACATAAATGTTCAATTTGTTCAAGTTTGATGGCTATATTGAAAAAGTATTATAGTTCAAGTGTATGTATCTAGTTTACAGGAGTAATGAAGAACCCACATTTAACCATGCAAAACATGGTTAACTATTAAACAACCAAAACATGATAAATATACACTAGTATTGAAGTAGGAAATATTCTCACCTTTAACCTTAACCACATATAATTTATTGAAAATAATTTGAACTATATTCTACATAGAATCATGTAATTATAGGGTATTTTGACGTTCGGGGGTCTGAGTGAGACAAAATACAGACAATTACGAGAATACAAAAGGAATTGAGTCTTTGCCAATCTCTATATCTTTGCAACCTTAATATATCTTAATATATCTATATCTTTGGACCTTGAATATTTAAAACTTTAAATTATGTTAGATCAAATAACCTAAATTTGAAATGTCAAATGTTACATATCAGGTTGCAAAAATAATGGAATTTGAGAATTTTAGTTTGTGCAAATGCTCAATTCCTTAACTTTAGTATTTCTCATTTACTAATGGATTAGAATACACTGTTGCATCCTTAGTTTATACCGTAAATATGCTTTAAAGGTTATATTACTATAGATATGTATAATATATGCATGATCTATTTAAAGTTTGTATAATGTAGCATACTTGTCTACCTGTACCTGGATTATAAAAATGTAGATTTCTCTGTATCTTGTATACCCTCTGCTCTTAAACGTTGAAGCATTGGTTTCCAAATATCTTTAGTAAACGGTAAAACCATTCCTTTCTTCTGGATCTCCCCATCTAGAACCTAATAAACCAATTCATTTAACAATAAGGGGTTTAATCATCTAGTTTATGTTGGATAAAATAGGTATTTGCTTACAATATCTAAAAACCAAAAAGTAAATGATTGAATCAAGAGTCAATCACAATCCTTAAAATTATGAAAATCAATAAAATAGAAATTAATCAAGAAATCAAATCAAAACATCTATAGCAATGCATCAAAACTTGTATCATAGATGCATTTAAACACGTCTTTAATTCATCATATCAATTTAAGATCTAGATATAAAGAATAGAAATTCAGTTTGTATAGAGAATGAGAGGATCAGTATATTACCATTTTTGTAGCAATAGCACAGGGATATCCAACAGTTTTAGCCATAGCAATGTATCCATTAGGGTCTCCGTAGTGAACCTAAATAAGATTTTTTCAAGGAAATTCGGACAAAATGAAAATAAAGATTTTAATCTGATGTTACCATATTGATCCCTTTTAGTTCACGTCTACCGTCGGGCCATCTGAATGTTTAAACAATGGTTAAAAACTAAGAATTTGACAAATCTATATTTTGTTTTATTTAAATACCTGACTGTAACCTCATGTCTCATCAGAATCATATCTCTCTCATCCTTCTCATAGGACAATCTCTTAGATAGATGATGACTCACCTAGATCAATATTATAGATTAGGGATGGTAGCACGCAAAACCACTTATGGTCATTTTGGACTGTATATTGAAAATATGTATTTGCCAGATAATAACAAGAGTTTATGTTTTTGTATTAGAAAGCTGACATCAAAAGCTGACATCAAGTATTGGAAATCAAGAGTTGAAAATCAAGAGCTGGAGATTAAGAGTTGAAGATCAAGAGTTGGAGATCAAGAGTTGAAGATCAAGAGTTGGAGATCAAGAGTTGAATATCAAGATTTGGAGATTAAGAGTTGGAGATCGAGAGTTGGAGATCAAGAGTTGGAGTTGAAGAGTTGAAGATGAAGAGTTGGATATCAAGAGTTAAATATCAAGAGTTGAAGATGAAGAGTTTGAGATGAAGAGTTGGAGATCAAGAGTTGGAGCTCAAGAGTTGGATAGCAAGAGTTTGAGATCAGAGTTGAAGATCAAGAGTTGGATTTCCACAGTTGAAAATCAAGATATGGAGATTAAGAGTTGAAGAGTTGGAGATCAAGAGTTGAAGATCAAGAGTTGGAGATGAAGAGTTGAAGATGAAGAGTTTAAGATCAAGAGTTTGAGATCAAAAGTTTGAGATCAAGAGTTTGAGATCAAGAGTTGAAGATGAAGAGTTTGAGATCAAGAGTTGGAGATTGAGTTGAAGATGAAGAGTTGGAGATGAAGAGTTGGAGATGAAGAGTTGGAGATGAAGAGTTGGAGATGAAGAGTTGGAGATGAAGAGTTGAAGATGAAGAGGTTGAGATCAAGAACTTATAAATATAAATGAGAAGAACTTACAGTATCAAGTGGAGATCCTGCTTTCATGATTGGAGAATCAGACATTAATCCCAGATCTTCAATAACCTTTAACATCTTCGCAGACTCTAATCTAAACACAAGAAATAATATATTTCAGAACATTTTGGTCAATAAGATAGAATGAAGATACAAATAAACCATGTTTTACAGATTAAGTGCTAATTTTAAGTGTGGATATGAAGTTCAAGTATCAGAGCTGGGAACTTTAGAATGGGATATCCTTAATCCCGATCAGTTAATTAATCTAGAGATTAATAACAATAGGATAACAAGCATTATTTAATCTGAGCTGAAAACTTTAGAATGAAATAACCAATTGGAAGATAAATTTGCTTCTCTGGAGTTTAAATTCATGTGGAGAACAAGCAATATTTAAACTGGATATTAAGAAAAAGAGTGGTTTAAGCCTTAATCCTGATATCCACCATTCTAAAGTTTTCAGCTCTGGAGATTAAGAAAAAAAGGAGATTAAGAATTAATCCTTATATCCACCATTCAAAAGTTCCCAGCTCAGGTTACACAATGTCTGACATGAGGGGAAAAATACATGATTTTTGTGAATTACCTATCTAAAAGAACATCCTTCAAATTATCATAAAAAATAGAATCTGTTTGATTCATGAGATGGCACATATACTGCTTCCAGGTGAGCTCAGGTCCATTCTCATGTAGTACAGGAGTAGGTGTAGGGTCCAGCAGACCCAGTTTTACCAAACCTTTCACTGCATCAACATAACCCTGAATATAAATATTATTCAGTATTTTAACAATTGTTTATGGAGCTTGTAAAATTAGCTAACAGTCAATATTGACACAACTCTGACCCATTCAACATTGACATTTCTTTTTCTTATATATATCTCTTTTTTAAGTGGCCACACCACATGGATTTTACGGTTCTGTCAATATTCCAGAAAACTGTGACTTTCGATCACAATTTGAGCCATTAAACATAATTTTTTAGAGTTTTTTCTACAACACTTTTTGTCGCTATATGCATTTTGAATTATAGACCAAAACAAGTTTGATTTCAAATAGAAGAAACCGAATGCTGCTCACTCTGGTTAGTCCGGAGTGACACATAAACATGGACAAAAGTTAACAAACAAATGCTTGACAGTTGAATACCTATTAAATTAGAACATTTGAACTTAGATATTTAATTACCTTGTACCGTAGTGTTCCTCGTAGAATTGTAGAAGCTTCATTGATAGAATACAGTTCCCCGTATATTGTACTGTCTCTGTTGGGGTATCCTGTTAGATAAAAAGATTGTAACTTGTAAAAATATTAAAATAAGGTTAAAATACCTTCAAGACTGAATCCTGGAAGGAAATCCATTGGAACAACAGACTCCAGTAAACCACCATTCTCCTCAACTTCAACCACATTCCCGTTCTGCAGATACTTTGCTAAACACAGACACAGATTAGGGAGTGAACAGGTAAAATAACTTGTGCAAATTACAACCAGGGGCGGACTAAACCATTATCTTAGGGGGGGGGGGCATAATTGCGCCCCCCTCCTCCAATAGCTCAGGGTGGGTTCCCTTTAGTCCTCCCCTGATAACAACCCTACAAGCTCTATAAGATTGATTCATGATGTTTTCTTAGCAACCCATCTTGTCATGTAAATTATTGATGTTTTAAACTTGAATTTATCTGCTTGTCATGAGGGTTGAAATATACATATCCTGTATTGAACTAACCTCCACTAAGCATGTTGAGAAGAGCACCTCTAGGACTCCAGGAGAACTTGTATCCAAGAGGGTTATCAGAGCACTCAGGAGCAGGCAGACCTACAAGCGTCATGTTACGATCAACATCATGATCAGTTAGTTGCAAGCTTAATTCTTCACAGTAGAGATAACCAACTTATTACATCTTCCTTCACATTCTTTTTGGTTTTTATATTTTATATTTTATTTATATTTTATATATAAAATTACAGGAAACAATGTTTTTCATAATTTTACCTCCACAGAAAGAAACAAATGATTCAATTTTTCCTCCTCCAGTGTGCACTGCATCAAAGCACTCCAGAGCAAGGAAATGGTCAATTCCTAAATCAGAATTTTTTTTTTAAAAAAGGTTTAGAAAAAATGCATATGAAGTTTAGAGAATTGTTAAGTTGAAAGGTATCAATAAAAGTCAGTAGTCAGAAGGTTATAAACGAGCTGGCATTTATTATTATTGAAGAAATAAAATAAAATTCTGAATCCAGAAGTTAAGAAATAACTGAATATTTGACCTGGATCCACTCCACATTCATTAACAGCTGTTATTCCAGCTTGAACAGCCTCACCATGAAGATTCTAAAAAAATAATGGTGAAAAACTACTCAGACATACATTTTGGTAACAAGAAAGCGTAGCAATATAATGTTCAAACTGAATTATTCAAGTAAAAAATGACAAATCCAGTAAGGATCAAAATTATTACCTTCAATGCTTGTGATTGATATGATGCAGTAACCATGTTGACTTTGTTGGCAATACATCTCTTGGCAATATCAGCATGAATAGTCCAGGGTAGGAGGGAGACAACAACATCATGAGATTTCATTAAATCATCAAGCATGTCTGGTCTTTCTTGTACATTGAGGAGAACTGGTTCAGTTCTTTCATATTTAGATGAGAGTGTATCAGCTTCAGACTATATATATAAATAGAGTAAATATGATTGGAAATATGAACTGAGGATTGATATGACTGTTTACCTTCAAAGCTGAAGCTACAGTGATCCCCAAATCTGAATCTCTGGTGAGGTATTCTATAACAGGAGCACTCACATATCCAGCACCAAGCACCAATGCTTTCTTACTTGAAGAGAAGTCCCCACACACCTTCATGGCATTAGCTTCCCTGAACAAATGATATTAATCTTCTGTTTATTTGTGCAAATATTTAATTTATCAAGGATTTACCTCAGATCTGCAATATATTCAAAGTCAGGAGTCAGCTTTCCATTTGATGTGATCACAGCTCCAGAAACAATAGGTCCCATTTTATCCTAAACAAGAAATATTTCAAGATCCATTTTATCCGAAATAAAAGAAAATTTTGTGAAGTTACATCAAGGCTAGAATAAATAAACCATTTAGTGGTTACCTTGTTGTCAAGGAAGGGTTTGGTTGCATCAGATTTCATGATATCGGACACATAGGGGTAGAGAAGGTCGCCAAAGAAATCTGTTGCTTCTCTAGGGAGCTGAGTTGGCATGTTATCAATTGAGCAGATTAGAACTCCATCACCCTTGAAGCTCTTTTTGTCCTTATTGTTATCAGCATCATACCTAAATGTGATTTAGAGTTAAAACAGATGTGTCACCGTTTAATTAAAATAAGATGAAAAGATTAGCTTACAGGCAGAAAGGTTCATCAATAGTTGTACACTCATTCATGAACTCAATAGAACCACCAGGATCTGCAGAGATATCACAGATAGCAACTAATCTACTGGGTAGACTAGGCGATCCAGGGGAGGTGGCCAACCAGGGAGTCTTGGCCGGAGTAATCAGGGCCTTGGCATCCGGGATAGTTATTAGTCGAGGGGTCTAAACAAATACAATTTAAGAAACCCTGAGGAACCAAGGAATGATCCGGTTTATGAAATGTAACACAAAAAACATTTCTATAGATTGAGTTAATATTTTTTAGGACTTTTTCACAAAAGTTCTTACCGCTGGGGACCAATATATTCCGTTGACTATAACACTAGCATAAGGAGCATATTTATGAGCAAATGTTGAGATATATCTTTCCGGATGCTCTTCAAACTCATCAACATTATAACCTCCTCCAAGCCTTCTCTCAAACTGATCTGACCTAAATTAACAAGGTTCAGGATAACTATATAATTTCCAACTGCCCCGCCACGCATAACCAATGGTTTACCTGCTAATCTCTGTAGCATACAGTTTGTTTGTATCTCCATGCATAGCAACCTTCTTCAGCATGTTGGGTGCAACATATTCATGAGGAAGCTCCTAAACATATTATTGATAATAACCTAGATTACTTACTGAATATATCCTGGAATATTTCCATGATTTGCCTAGAATATATTTTAGATATTCTACCGGGAATATTCCGTGGATATTTTACCTGAAATATTCCCTGGATATTCTACCTAGAATATATTCTGAATATTTCACCTAGAATATATTCCTGATTAATTACCTGGAATACATTTTGGATAATTTACCTTCCGGATATTTAACCTAGAATATATTCTGGATATTATACCTGGAATATTTCTTGAGCTCCTTGGGACACATTTCCAGATCCAGTAAATACAAAGGTCATGGGACCAATACTCTTAGGCATCATATCTAGAGATATCTCATATCCTGCATCCCTGAGAAATAATTCTTTAGTTTTGTGCTTTTTAAACTTTCTATGACGTTGACTTACAGCCGAATACAAGCTAAACATTCTCTGTTGTCAGGGGGGAATACCTGTATATCTATCTTTCTATCTTTCTATATATCTATATATATTCTATCTGTACCTTATTCCCTGTCTAGCATGATGAGTATTCCTGTAGTTGTGAGCAGGTCCGACATGCATAAATGGAGTATGATGGCCCAGAGCCAATAATCTAAACACCAAAAAGAACATCATTAAACATAGAAAACCTTTCCCTTAGATAATTAGAGTATTTTCTTAAAACAAATCAGTCCTAAAAAAAGCCAATGAGATATTTTTTTTAAATTACAAATTGCTTTTAATAAATATTGCTGTTTTAAGCTTAGGGTGCAAGAGTCCTATCATTTCCTTACTGTGGAGGCCACTTCTTCTAAACATGAAATCCCTTTCATTGCCCCTATCCCCTCTCCCTCCTCTAGCTGGGTTGTAAAAGTGTACTATTGTAACCTTCCTAGAAAATATAGTATTTGAGTATTTAATCCTGATAATCTTTTACCTGAGCCCAAGCCCATGAAGAATATCAATCATCCCTGCAATACCAGCATACTTTCCAAATGCAACAACTCTCTGTCCTTTCTCATCATTCATCTTCTCATAGTCTATACACCTGAACATATAGTCTATACACCTGAACATATAGTCTATACACCTGAACATATAGTCTATACACCTTAATAACATGTAGTCTATACACCTGAACATATAGTCTATACACCTGAACATATAGTCTATACACCTGAACATATCCTTAACATACAGTCTATACACCTGAACATATAGTCTATACACCTGAACATATAGTCTATACACCTGAACATATAGTCTATACACCTTAACATATAATATATTCTATACACCTGAACATATGTTAGCTATAGCTGGCCAAACGGCTTGACTAAAATGGCTAAGTTTTTAAGGAAACTCATGGGTACACTGGGGCTAACATAGGTACACGCTAACACAGGTACACTGGGGCTAACATAGGCTACAAAATTTGAAATTTTGTTGTTGTCCAGATTTAAATTTTTTTCTATTGAGTTTTTAAAATTTTACGAACAACGCTGGCCATTTCATCTAATCTTCTCTATACAGTGAAACCCTTAATAACGAATACATCGAAAGAATTCATCAAATGTCGTATTCTTCACTTTCTGATAATGGAATGTTGCAGATATTTAGTTTTTTAATTAAATGATTATATGGAACTCTTTAAAACTGTTCCCGCATATTAATGGCTATTTATTAATTTTCGCAAATACTGAAATTTACGTAATATAGTATAAAACTCATTGAAAAATTGTCAAGACGACATTTGATAAATTCTTCCGATGTATTCGTTATTAAGGGTTTCACTGTACTAAAGCTCTTCGCTCATATGTATATACATATTAATATAAATTTGTTAGCTATAACTGGCCAAATGGCTGAACCAAATGTGTGGAATTTTTTTGAGGAAACCTAATGGTGCCCTAGGGGTAACAAAGGCTCAGCTACAGTTAAACCCTAAATGATCCATACATCGAAAGAATTTATCAAATGTCGTCTTGACAAATTTTCAATGGGTTTTATACTATTTTATTTAAATCTCAGTACTTGCGAAAATAGATAAATAGCCATGAATATGCGGGAACAGTTTTAAAGAGCTCCATGTAATCATTTAATTAAAAAAACAAAATATCTGCAACATTCCATTATTAGAAAGTGAAGAATACAACATTTGATTAATTCTTTCGATGTATGGCATATTAAGGGTTTAACTGTAGTACTTTATAAATATTTATAAACCTGAACATTGAATCTATTATTCTGAAAACATAATCTATACGTCCTATCCATAAATTTTATATTGTTTATATTATCTTGTATTGTTAATATCAAGATCAGGGGAGGAATAACTAAAATGAAGATAAGGATTATGAGTTCCCATCTCAGAGCATATTATGAACCAGAGTCTAAAACTAAAGAACGAAAAGTTTTGACTTAAATTTTAAGTTCATGGTTAAATGCCACTTTTGACTTAATTTAAACCTGAACTTTAACCGTGAGGTTAAATATTTAACCTTGTGGTTAAATATTTAACTCGCCGAAATCGACGAGTTAAAATTTAAACAGATGTTTAAATTATCTTGAAATCCTGCATTTTCCATATTTGTCTTTTATTCAATCTTCATTCAGCTGCAGCTGAGAAGCGGCATTCAACTTTACGATATATTTAAAAGTGAAAACCTTGTTAAAGAAATTTCACGTTTAAGATAAATTAATTTTTGGGTGTAAACCCAAAAAACGGTTGTATGTTTTGTTTTCGGTTACGTAAGAACAGCTGATTAGCGATGGTTATGTAATATTCTCCGTAAATCCTTTTCTCTGATTGGTTCAGATTTTTCCCGGGAAATTAAAATTTAAAATTGAGAAAGTTTAATATTTATGTAGCTACTCATTATTTTACAGAACTTTTAACCACGAACTTAAAATTCGCGCATTCTTTAGTTTTAGACTCAGGAACCTGAACGGATTTTGATGCAAAGGATGCACATTTTTACCTAATATTCTTCTCGAGCATTGCATCAAGTAAGTCCATGTTGTCCGCCTGTGCTTTAATTGTGTGGGAGAAGAAACAGTATGTCTTGTTAGAGAGCAATGCATCAACTGGAACCTTAACATGATACAATGATGCATATGGTTAGAGAGCAATGCATCAACTGGAACCTTAACATGATACAATGATGCATATGGTTAGAGAGCAATGCATCAATTGGAACCTGAACATGATACAATGATGCATATGGTTAGACCAATACAACAATTGGAACTGAAACATTTTTTATTGATGCATATCATGCAAAATCTCACCTTTCAGCAATGAAAGAAATAGAAAATCATAAATTTTGCATCATCAACTTCCAAACTTGATGCATTTAATACAATTTCAATTACGCATTGCTGAACTCGATAACTATACAAAGTGCAATGTACATTAGCTCCTGCACCTGTTTGACTCCGAATATAACAGAAGCTTCTGACATATCCTCCTGTATCCTAGCTCCTACATTTGCATATGCTGCCATAGGGTAGGCTCGTCGGTTAGAGGGCTGCACGATAACCTAATATAGAGAAATATATAAATATTAGACTTCCTAGACGCTTCATGTCCCTAATCAACCCAGGAATCCGGGAAGACTGTTTGATCAAATCAGTTCAAATGTTTTGCCGTTTTGTGATACAAGCAAATAATTAGACTAGTTTGGAAACGCAGCTTTGTCTAAAGTTTTCCCTGTACAAGTCAATCAACTCAACTAAGAATTTTTTGCCAAGCTACGAACATTCCCGTGGTTCTCCTGAGTTTCCAATCAATATTTGAGGCAAATTCGGTCAAGGGGTTCTAGAGTTATGGTCGGACATTCAAAAACAGAAAGACGAACACGAGACGAAAGACGAGTTTAATACTTTGAATATATAAATTTAGCTTGTCTGTCTGTCTGTTTTTTTTTGTATCCAATAAACGTCAAAACGGATGAACCGATTAGTCCCCAATTTTGTGTGGGACCTCACGTGGCCCCGGGAAGGTTTATGAATGATCAAAATTTCAAATATTTTTCTCCATCAAAATTTGATTTTTATTAAATTTTTGAAAATTTTGAAAATTCACGAAATTTTTTGTTAAAATCCGCGAAATTTTTTTGTTTTGTTTTACGATGTACACAAAGAGAACATGTTCACGATTAAAAACTTCTTATTCAATTGCCAGCAAAGATTATTCGATTAATTAATCTTGAAGTGTTTATGCTGGTTCAGAGAATGTATATTTTTAGTTTTAAAGCCGATAATTCGTTCAATAAAACTGTGTTTACCTTTATTCCTTGTTTTACTAGTTTTCTCACATGTTGGGGTCCCAGGGGAGCTCGCCTCTCCCAAACCGACTGGGTCTCCCTGAAAAACATGTCTCCATTTTTTATCTTACAAAATATTAATTCATTTTTAATTTTTTTTTTATGAATCTACAAACCTTCGAATTGCCATGACTTTCTGGCCGCCCCTTGCAGACATAAATCTGCATTGTTCATTTCTAAAATAATAAAAATATTATAATTATTAATGTTATTATTATGGATATTTTCATTTAATATAATGAAAATTAGGTATGATTATTATGATTATTTTAATTTATTTATTGCTTTGATATTTAATTACAGAAAAAGTGTATAATTGCATTAAAATGCAATACGCAAAAATAATCTTCATATAACCGTAATAAATGCATTTAAAGTAAAAGTATACCTGATGGAATCTATCTGCGTGAGCGGCCGTATTTTACCTCCTAGTTTCCCAACACGATTCATTGCTTTGATTCTGCACAAATTCAATATTTTTGAAGCTTTTGACTTTTTTAGAATGTATCTCAAGCTGTGGACTGTTCTGTCTGCCTCTGTCTATATATCAAATGCTAAATTAGGTAAAATTTGAAAAACTAAAATTTTGTTGATTGTTTGGGCTTCATGAGGCCATTTTAAAATCTGTCGTAGATTTTTTATTTACATCTGACGGATTTTCAACGATTTCTCAGAATTTATAAAAAGTGAAACCATTTTAATTTTCTCCTCTTATATTCAGCGATGTTTTTAATTCTTATCTTTACATTTTTTCTTCAGTAAAACCCATAAAACTGTGGAATATGATGACGACATTTTAGCAGTCTTACATGTATTTGAGGTTCTTTTAAAGCTAACGTTTTACCAGCTGCTTGAAAATCATCTTAAATAGTAAATTTACAGTACAGTACACACTACAATAGCTATTTTTCATGTTTTTAGGCTATTTTAAATCGTCTTCCTTTTCCACAGTTTTGTTAACTTCACTGTAATTAAGAGTGGCTAAATGTTAACTTGAATTTACATATTTTTAAGGTGATTTCAACCCGTTTATCCCTGCTCGTCCTGGTGAGAGCCCTGCCTGTGCTAAGAAGGGGAATTCATATTGTGAATATATAGAAGATTATCCAGTGTAAGAAAACTATGATTTAATATGAATTTATGGATTTAATATGATGTTATGGATATAATATGAATTTATGGAATATGGATTTAAAATCAGATTATTAAATCAGTTCTTTCCCATAACCCTGTAGGTAAAACAAGATAGATTATCAAGTGTAAATAGATGGCAACGTAGAATTTGTTCACTCTCAGTACTGCTGTATTCTGACGTCACAAGTGTCAACAGTTTTATGTGTCCGATAAAATTATTAATATTTGTGATAATAAAGTGCTTATCTTACAGTGAAATAATTGTGCAATTTTGTGTTATTTATTTTCTTTTTTACACCTTTTATTTAATCTTGGAAATCATGTCAACTAAATGGAGAAAATATTGTCTTCATTATTTGACACTTGTGACGGCATGAATAATTATCCATTTCTCTGTTGCCACCTATTGATACACATATTTCTTGTCTTATTTTGATCTCATTTTCAAAATCTGTTGTAGATAAACTTAATTCTTTAAAATATATATAGACAAAAAGTTAAAAATAGCAAATAACAAAATTTTTTCATCAAATGGGCTTAAAAGTGGCCCACTCACTTCATGACGAGGACCCCCAGTTGTAAAAGTAGGAAGTAAAGGTAAGAAGCGGAAGTAGAATTAGGAGGTAGAAGTAGAAAATAGGAAGTAGAAAGTAGGAAGTAGGAAGTAGAAGTAAGGCGTTGAAGAAGGACGTTGAAGAAGGAGAAAGTAGGAAGTAGGAAGTAGGAAGTAGGAAGTAGGAAGTAGGAAGTAGGAAGTAGGAAGTAGGAAGTAGAGAGTAGGAAGGAGGAATTAGAAGAAGGACGTGGAAGTAGGAAGTGGAAGTAGGAACTAGAAAAAAGACGGAGAAGTAGGAAATATAATTAGGAAGTAGAAGTAGGAAAAAGGAAGAAGGAAGTAGGAAGTAGGAAGTAAGAAGGAAGTAGGAAGTAGGAAGTAGGAAGTAGGAATAGGAAGTAAGAAGTAGAAGTAGGAAGTAGAAGTAGGAAGTGTGAGTAGGACGTGGAAGTAGGAAGTTGAAGTGGAAGTAAGAAGTAGAAGTAAGAAGTAGAAAGTAGAAGTATGAAGAAGAAGTAGGAAGAAGAAGTAGCAAGTAGAAGTAGGAAATAGGAAGTAGAAAGTAGGAAGTAGGAAGTAGAAGTAGGACGTTGAAGAAGGACATTGAAGAAGGAGAAAGGAGGAAGTACGAAGTAGGACGGAGGAAGTAGAAGAAGGACATTGAAGTAGGAAGTGGAAGTAGAAATTGGAAAAAAGAAGTAGAAGTAGGAAGTAGGATGTAGGAAGTAAGTAGGAATTAGGAAGTAGGTAGTAGGAAGTATAAGTAGGACATGGAAGTAGGAAGTGGAAGTAGAAATAGGAAGTAAGAAGTAGAAGTAGGAAGTTGAAGTGGAGATAAGAAGCAGAAGTAAGAAGTAGAAAGTAGAAGTAGGATGAATAAGTGAATAAGTAGGAAGTAGAAGTAGAAAGAAGATGTAAGAAGTAGACTAGGAAGTAATAGTCAGAAGTAGGAAGTAGGAAGTAGGGGAATACTAAGGAGGGGCCTTCCTAGTCTACTTGAAAACAGGGAAAATATGAAATGTAGTTTTCAAAAGTGTTTCTCCGTCAAAACGCCAAAAACAATCAATTTCTTTACTGAATTAATCATTTTATATGTTCTGTAATGTTCCAGAAATCCTTAGTTAGAATTTTGCAAGGTCCAATATGATGTGGGGAAACCCCTTATGTACAGGGTTACCGATAAAGAGTAAGACTTTAATAACAGCCTAAAACTCCTTATATATAAATCAAATTTTCTTTTAATGGTGTATTTAATTTAATGGTTTGGGAAAAATATAGACAAGTCTATGGCTATATGGGAACAATAAATGTCTTAGTCTTTTAGGGTACTGGGTACCCTGTATCAATGGTATTTTTTCAATGTTATAATTATTTGAAAACGCGTACAAGAATATTTTCTATATTTCCGGGCTAGGTCTCCCGGTCAGCTCACAATAGACTGCTGGCTTCTGGCATTCTTAACCCTCGGAGAAAGGAAGTACAGGGGCGCAATAACAGCTTAACTGGTAGTAACATATAGTCTCTACACCTGAACATATAGTCTATACACCTGAACATATAGTCTATACACCTGAACATATAGTCTATACACCTTAACATATAGTCT